TTTGATATCAAATAAATCAACATAAAGAGCAAAAAAAAAGAATTATTTGTACCAAATTGGTCTCTGCTCAGTATGAGGCCATAACGTACTCGGGACGTTACGGCCACTGGTATTCTGCAGACACCATGAGAGAGGAGCACGTGGCCCACAGCGAACGTTACAACTCACAACAACGGATACATGATGCGGGCTTCGTTCATTTTGACCTTGCATCTAGTGCAACAGAACCATTAAAGTCTTACTATAATCCCTTATTTCTCCACACACACTTCAGAGTTCAGACCCTTATTTAATCCACTTAGAGCCAGGTATCTTTTATCTGAAGAATAACTTTGTCATTTTGACATATTTCCCTTTTTTTTAAGGGACGTGCGCTGGTAGCTTGAAGAGCTTTTCCAGCTTCACCGGGCAGAGTGGCGAGTACAGAAGGTACTCTAGCCGTTTAGCGATCGTCGGTGCGCGTGCCGACGAGGCCAAGTGTGGGCTTCGCTTCGCGAAGCCCAGGCTCGTCCACGTTCGCTATCGGGCCGTGACATATTTCCCATACTAAAACTGTTAATGTGACAAACTTATTCTTCAGATAAAAGATAGCGGATGTTGACATCAAAGTTTTAGTTAGTACATAATGGCAACCACTTCAGTTTTAACATCCAGACTTATTGCGATATAGAACCTCCACAAACTGGACTTTTGCTGATTACAGATAACAGCACGTTAAGTTAAACATATCTTATGTCGCTGTAACAGGGGTGATTTTGCGACAAAAATATATTATCTGATGTNTCGTAATCCCTTATTTCTCCACACACACTTCAGAGTTCAGACCCTTATTTAATCCACTTAGGGCCAGGTATCTTTTATCTGAAGAATAACCTTGTCATTTTGACATATTCCCATACTAAAACTGTCAATGTGACAAACTTATTTTTCCGATAAAAAGTTAACCGACGATTGAAAAATCAGCCCTTAGGAAATGAATTATGGTAATTCCTTCTTAGCGGATGTTGACATCAAAGTTTTGATTAGTACCTACATAATGGCAACAACTTCAGTTTTAACATACAGACTTATTGCGATATAGAACCTCCACAAACTGGACTTTTGCTGATTACAGATAACAGCACGTTAAGCTAAATATATACTATGTCATCTTATGCCGCTGTAACAGGGGCGATTTTGCAACAAAAATATATAGTCTGATGTGCGGTCGTTGGTTATGAATAGATCTTGCTGCTTGCCGCACCGACGGGGACGAGTGGGTAATTGAGCATTTATTCAATTGGGAATCAAAAAGCAAATATTAATAAGAGAAGTTCGAAGGTTGAATGTATCGAATAGCATACGGATGCAGTTCATCACATCCGAATACAGCTGGAGACTTTACACTTTCCAAAACTAGATCTTCAATCAACTGACATACGAACTAAAATGTGTAATTTTCTTGAAAATAATTATTATCACTTTGCCAGGCACTACCGCTAATAATCCCAGAGAAATCTATAACGATTAATCATTGAAAGATTGTAATTGAAGAAAGATGGATAAGTAATAATGACCAAGATGAGTAAACTATCTCCCTAGAGGCTCGTGGAGTCAAGCGTGAAAGTAGGTCGATCCAAAATAGCTAATCAATATCGCTCGGTAGGTAGTAGACTGCATGATCATGCAAGAGTTTATCAATATGTGACAATAAAATTGGGAACCAACAGTCAAAAGGAATTTTATGTGTCACCTCATTTTTATGGCAAATAATAATATTCCCCTCATCCCTATTAGGAACTTTTTCAAATAATAAAAACTAAATAAGCATAAAATGCCAAGTAGACGAAGTCTTAGGCCCTTTTCACACGTCCCGGTTGATGATGCCTTATTATGTTTGATTAGACGCCTCCATTATCTACTCGTTGAAAAGTTGTAGGTACTCTCACCTTGAGGTCCTGGGTTCGATATCCAGGTAAGACACACTTTGAAAAATAACTTTGGTGACTGTTCCAGAATGCTTTCCCCGAGGATTAACCAAAAAGTAATACATAAATGCTTCAATAGCACACTCATCTTCATATAATCTGACAACAGATAAGATTGAATGAGGAAAATTCAATATCCACCACTATCAAGTTATATTGTGAAGTCGAAATGGTATCCTAAAAACAATTCATTGGTGTTAACATCCATAAAAAAAACTCTATAAATCTCTTTACCAGTGATTTTTTAATTCGCTTCAAAACAGCAGCTCTTTAATTATTACAGGCTCATGATTAAATGACGTCCATATACGTGATTCGGGCCGCCATGTTGTGCTCTTTGTAAATTCATTCGCGCCCTTCAGCGAAAATGTTTTCAAATGCGTTTATGCCAGCTCCACACGTTGGTTGGTCCAATGTTGGTTCAAACACCACTCGTTTGACATGAGGGTTTAGTCTAAAAAAATAGTGTTGGCACCAACGTTGGCACAAGCTATTTTATAGATCTACACGTTTGACGAGTGGCGTTGGGACCAACGTTGGGCCAACGTGTAGAGCCGGCCTTACAGACGGCGTTATTACGCTAATGGGACACACAAAGATAAGACAGCGGGACAATAGGCGAAGTATTAAAAGTGCCGTCGAAATTAAAAGTGGAGTGAACAATTACGTAGAGAATATCTCACACCCGGCTCACTTGTTTGAAGATTTTTTTAACCGACCTCAAAAAGGAGGTCAATTCGACCCGTATACGTAATAATATTGTCCGAATTGCATATTTATTATGAGTATTTAATTACTTACTAGTATCTTCTAACCATGTGTGCAAACTTTTTAAATCGTAATTTTGGTAAAAATCTATATCTATACTAATATTATAAATATGCGAAAGTAACTCTGTCTATCTGTCTTGCTTTCACGCCTAAACCACTGTACCGAGTTTGATGAAATTTAGCATAGAGATATTTTGAGTCCTGGGAACAGACATAGGATAGTTTTTATCCCGGTTTTTGAAACAGGGACGCGCGCGATAAAGCTTTTCTGTGAAATACCACGCGGGCGAAGCCGCGGGCGGAAAGCTAGTATAAAATATGTAAATGCCCTTTATTTTAATGTACTTTTTATATTGATATAAGTACAGAAACAATACTAAATATAGAATAGATATAAAAAATATATCATCACTAGGCTCTAAAAACTTACATAATTACATTGGTGGCACAGTTTCGGAGAAAATCGTGATGCAGGCGTTCAAGCAAAAAAGCCTCCCCCAATGTGTAACAGCCGCATAATAATATAAAGTGAAACGAAAGTGTCGGCGTGAATTAATATTAGACCCCGTCCCGAAGGGTGAAAATAACCGATCATCGGCCGACGAGATCAAAATAATATTTTTAACGGGAAGTTTTTTCATTAATTCTAGATATCAATTCTGACAAGGACCTGTCGATATTAAACGAATTTATTTTTAGAATATTATACTCTCGCGAAGTGCATTTCAGAGCCATGTAAACGTATTTCTGGGTCATTCAGCTTTTAGTGCTTGAGTTTTTTTTTAGAAAAAAATAACATTTTTAAATAAATGAATATTTTAATTCCCAAATACTTATACTAAGACTAGTTACTACAAAAACATATAAAACTTAAGGTAGCTTTTTAACCAAAGTTAAGTCAACAGTATCTATTTACTGTCCCAACAGTCGCATTGTTTAGTTAAAAGCATTACAGAAAATCATTACAATTAATAAAATAGAAAATGGAAATATAAAAGTAACAGCATTCAAATTACCCCACTGTACCTACCTACACATTTGGGTATACCTTTCCATTGCGGTCGGGAGATTAGAAGTTTCTTACCTAATTCGAAAAAAGCAATCGTCTCAAGCGTAACGGAGCATAAAACATCATTACAGGACCCCGTCTTAAACCCGCAGGCATTCTCGAATTTATAATCGGAATCTTTATTGATCGCCTCCAGGCTGATGAGCGAGACGGCAACATCTTCGGGAGGATCAGAGCAGGACGCCTATAGTTTCCTGTTGGACACCGCCGTCCCAAAGGATATCTTTCGACCACGTATGTTTCGCGAACGAGTCGTGTGATTTAGAAAAAATAACATTAAAGTTCAAGTTCGGTTATTGATAACCATATATGATATATCGAAAGTATTTTTTAAACTTTATGATCTAAACGTTATAACAAACGAAAAAAATCATATTGCAAAGTACAATACTTCCAATTTCTTTTCCATTACTTATATTTTTGTCTATTTTACGTGCACCATCTTTAAACGATGTGATGGAGTCACTGATATGACTCCATAAAAATTTTTCATCTTTAATCAAATTTTTTCTACAAATTGCATCAAAACATTTTCGAAATCCCGAGCACTCAATCACTAGAACAGTAAAATCTGTTCCCCTTCTTGATCGGGATCACACTAAGCGGCCTCTGAACGATTGGATAAACCTAATATCCTTACATCTCGGGTTATCGGTTTGCCTGCCCGCCCCCCAGATAAACGCCGTAATAGAGGTAGATACAGCCTTATTCTTGCCGCGTCTTGTCCTTTTGTATCGCTTTTTTAGGTCAAATGGATAGTTTAGTGGCGACATAACCGTTTATGTTAAGGATTCCTACTACACTCTATCACAACGACAATGCCCTTAGTTTTGTTGCTTAAAGTCTACGACACACTACGATATGTCGTAGGCGAAAGCTCGTAGTCTTGTCGTAGTCACTGCTACGATCGTTAACGATGTCGTTACTATTTCCGTAGCAACAAAATTCTTACCATTTTGTTTGAAACTGCAATTTGTTGCACTTATTGTATGTACTTATCATTATGTGTGCTAGAACAGCTTCTTCATAAAAAAAATATAAAACAGTCATAGTTAAGGTTTTAAGCTAATACATACATTCTTCATCATTTTCTGTACAGGTTAATTGAGTTAATAAATAGAGAAGAAAACAGCAATGGTGTCCATAACAGTGTTTTTGAGATAACTCAGATGTAAATTAATTAAATTGACTTACCGCTTGTGACTTGAAGAGTAGTGGCGAAGAGACATAGCAGCGAGAGTGACAGGCATCCGAGTGAGTTGAGCCGATGTGCCGGGGCCATACTGTATCCTTGAAACAAAAACAATACTTAAATATCTTTAAAATACGGTAAGAGTTAATTTGCTATTAGAACTCTCAAAATAAAATAATTCTTCAACTCTACACTAACTGAAACCCATTCAGAAAACACGCCATCTATCGGGTGGTGCGCGAACTACGAAGCGAAACGATGCTTTCCTACACAGGGGGTGGGTTAGCATTCAGTTTCGTGGTAAACCGCTAGATGGCGGTAGTGGGATAAAATTTTAAAACTGGTTTAAGTCGGTCAGACAGGGGCGAATTTGGAAGGAAAAGGGAAAGTAAAATAATGTAATTTTACAGTGGTCAACCATAGAAGTAATAATAAAGCTTTTACTTTTATAAATTAGTTTGTTGATATTTCATTACAAAATTATGTCAATACTTATTAAACAATATTTATTATAGAAAAAGTAAATTGATAGCTACAAACCATATCGTCAGCATGTGTGTTTGTGCCGCGGCCGTCCGCTGCCCACCACAGATCACCTGGAATGCAAGACGGTGTAATTTTAATTATTTATTTTATATCATTTCATATAATCTATTAAAAGATGCAATTAAACTTATGTGACTACAAATGTGTTCTTTTTTTCAATCAATATAAGCTGTAGATCCTGGTTACAAGGGAGTTGCAACGGTGGGAAAGGGAGGTGGTAATAGTCCCGTAGTCAATTTAAAAATGCAATGAAAAAAAAAACATACGGGTCGAATTGAGAACCTCCTTTTTTGAAGTCGGTTGATAAAATGCAGACCTCAGATTTTTGTCCTAATTTTTCCGTACTTGCAAGTTGCAAATGTAAATAACTACGTTACTATATTTAAACTTACAAAAGATTTTTGAAAAATGTAGGTCACGAAAACAACATAAAACTAATTTGAAACAGCGCGCAGCGGTCTTAGGAAATGTTGTATGGGATCTTTGGTTCTGCGTTTGAATAACTTAACCGTTTAATTTTGGCATCAAATTATCTAATTCAAAACCGATTAATTAAAAACTTTGCTCAAGGGTCAGAAGCGAGACTGATCTCTCACGCACAATTAAACAAATTAACGAAATCGGGAATCACACTGATGACAGCCGGCAGGCGAATGTTCTTCATGAATGGGGGGTAGGGGGGATACAAACACGCGCCAATCAAGCCCACCACTCGACAGGGCTCGGTTTAATAACTGCCATCTGAGGAATTTCCGACTTTGAATTGCCTGAATTAAGGAACAAGGAGCTCTGGAAAGAGGTTAAACTTTTAACAATACGGAAACGGGTTTATTGTGATTTTATATCGCCGTAAAACGTTATTCAAGTACCTTGAACAGCATTACTGCACATGCTAGATACTACTCAGATTATGTGCAACTATCAAGATAAGTATGTTACGTGTTTTGTCTTTCACTACACAGTAGCTACGTCTGATTTTTTATTTAATAAACCTTAAACCAAACTTTAATATTGTAGACAGTTTTGTAGTAAATATTTTCTAGTTCTGTAGGTAAACTTACGTGTTATATATACATAATATCAATGCTTAAAGACCCTAATAACCTAGGAAAATCTCAGATAAACTACATTTCCTAGGAACCTGTCTGTGAAATCAGGTTAATACTTCTACAAAAGAGCTTTCAAAATAAGTGTAACCGTAGCATTGTAGCAAGATAAGGGTCGTAGTCGTAGTGCTACGCCGTAGTATGCTACGAAGTGCACGTAGACGAATTCTTATATCCACTTTACATTTTAAGCTGTTTACCACAACGGAGGAGAAAATTTACATAGCGATACTTTCGTTTTGTTTACTTCATACGAATCTCAATACATATAAAAAGCTAAATTATTGAACACCAAAGAAAAATTACTAGTAATAATAGACTTCAAACGATCTAGTCTAAAAAAATGTGTGTAGCCTATGGTGTAGCGGCTACTAGGCTACACTGTAGCCTAACCATAACACCTCATACTGTTAACAATGCATTGCATGCATTCTGAGTCTAATGGCTTAGTTAAATTTTAACAATGCTGACCAACTGACGACATTGCTGTTAATGGTTCACGCACTTTGATTGATAGCACGCACACGCGTTTTTTTCTTTCAAAATTAAACAGAAAGACAATATTATGGTTAAATACCTTTTAATTCCCTGTCTGGCCAGGGACTTTTCCACACCTATGTACCCGTATAGGATTGCCCTATACCAATTGCCGGTATTTTAATTAAAACAGACAATGGAAGGCGGTGGCACTGCACCGGCCGGCACAAAGGCTGGCAATTAAAACTAACACTTCATTACTCGCTTGACTTTGATTTGCCGCACCCAACTTCTAATGGACTCAAGCGAGACTACGCGGATGCACATTCTAAAGGAAAATGCTCTTTCAATGGAATCCTACTTACTTATTACTTCGAAAGTTCAAGCTAGCGGATAAATTCGAAGACTAATGGCATATATTATTAAGTCATTTTAATTGTTAAACGTTTATTATTCCGTACTTATTTACGTATCTGTTTGCCACGTAATTAGCAATATGCTAGCAACAGCTTATTTTAAATCAGGCTTTTTACTCGATCATACCTTAAATAGAGAGTTTTTGTTAACTCGTTATATCCACTTTAAGTACATATATCACATTGGATGGACCCATAGTAATATTGTTAGAAGCATGTAAAGTACATATTCGTATGTATTTATTTTGCTACCTAACACAAATCAAAGTCAAACAATGTTGACTTTATTGCAAAGTTTTTCGATTTAAGACCCGAAACTAAAACTTTTTCAGTCCAGAATACTTTAATCTTCATAACGTAGAAATCGAGTAAGGTGCCGGCGATAAGCTAAATATTTGAGCACCGCGGATAACGCCCATTCTTTATGCATGCCAACCTACATACCGTTTCTGCCTGAAATCTAATTTTACGTAATCACATTTCAGTTTCAATTTAATTCAATTATGTAAAAAGTCTTCTGACCGTGTTTATGTTGTTGCTTTTTCCATTTGTGTTTCGTTTCTCTCTTTTCGCAACTTTTTGAGAGGACTTTTTTTCATAATAAACGGTATAGAAATTCCTACCTGAAAAGGAGGAAGTGAAATAGAAATTAAATAACATGTTTGAGCCATTTGGGGTCGAGACGCTAGGTCCGTGGGGACCAAGTGCTCATCGCCTGTACAGGGAATTAGCCAAGCGGCTGATTGACTGTACAGGTGATAGAAGAGCTGGCGCATTTCTTGGCCAACGAATCAGTTTGGCCATTCAGCGCGGAAATGCAGCCAGCATTCTGGGCACCACGTAGCGTTGTTTGGACAGCGATTTGGGACATATTTTTTATTTGTAAATATTTAGTCTATGTAGGTTAATTATTTGTATTATTCTTAATTTTCCTTAATAACAATTTATTATCTAAAACCATGCATTAGAATGAGAGGTTAAGTGCCAACTGAATCACTTATGTGTGTACTAGCAAACTCTTTTATTTCATATCAAGAGAACAAATCTAAACAACCTGGCCGCTTGGCCACATGTTTGTAAGTAATTTACATATGTATTGTAGGGTTCAAACTTTATCTTTAATTGGAATACTTCAAGTCAGCACCATGCAGAATCGGGATTTCATTAACATACAAATTCACCCGTAGGTTGAAGTTTTAATACGTGAACGCTGTCGAATAATTAAACTGGTAGTTTGCGTTGGTTTTCTCAAAAGGCGATAACGCATAGCTAAATAAGCTGCCATTAAATTTTGAAGCGCTTTAAAGCACTGCGGGTTATCGTGGCGTGTTGGTACAGCGCTTTTGAATTGTATTTTATGGTTTGTTGTCTAAGCTCCTCCGCGGCGAGGAGGGCACGTCGAGCCAGCACTCGGCTTTAGTTAAACACGGTAGTATCTTTTACTCATACAATAAACTACCGCATAAAACAAAACTTGCAAAACAATAAATCATTATAAATATATCCTTATTTCAAACTAAACTTCTGTGCGTTTATTTAATTTATATTATTTCGAACTGTAACTTGTAATTTCTTTTATCATTATTATTGTTTTTTATATTTATAATTATCTCGAATAAAATACATATCGACAATATAAGCCTGCTCACTCGTAGTCACTCAAATCTCAAAGTAAGTGGAATGACTTACTGAGAGTGAGACTGGAGGATCCTTGAAGCTTTGTTGACCACTCAGTTTCAGAAGTGCTGGGAATTGAACCACTGAAACGTTTTTTGGAATGAATAAACAGTTTTAAATTATTTCCTCGTCGTGAATTAATTATGAGAACAAAGTCAAACTTTTTCGATATCTCGTGGTCGTTTCCTAGTTGCTGTTGTTTTCCAAGCTGCGCTAGTAGCAACAAGGGTCATATTTTTAACGGCTTGTGATTTACGGGCCGTCGACAACAAGCCCATAACTCAAAAAGTCCGCTGCGAGTAGCTCCGAGCTCTGAGCTAACAATTTGTCTTAGCCAACGAATGAATTTGACAAAGCTTTTCCTTCGACGCTTTGCGTGCTTTATCTTTTACAGTCCAAAGTGCTATTTGTTTGAAAACACAGAAAACAGCTTGAATGGAATTTTGGAAAGCAGAAGCAAAAAGCAGGTGTGGAATTGAGATCCCATTATTACCTATTGGCTGTGCCCACGACTTCGTACGCGTGAAAACCCGTTTTCGCAACATTTTTCATTTTTGCTCTGCACCTATTACTCGTAGCGTGATGGTATATAGCCTATAGCCTTCCTCAATAAATGAGCTATCTAACACTAAAATAATTTTTCAAATCGGACCGGTAGTTCCTGAGATTAGCGCGTTTAAGTAAACAAACAAACTCCTTCCTTACTTTAGAGTTCTGATAAGTAATTATGAAACATATTTATTCAAAAGCTCTCAGTCAGTTTCCAAACATGTTTTAAAAACTTTCAGAATGGAACTGAGATACACGAACTAGTAAGACCCATTTTCACATTGTATAAAGCAGAAAATTAGACAGCCGACAGACATTACTGGAAGGAAATTGTCTGTAATACCAGACATTGAGCATACATTTTTTTAAATACCTTCGCGAAGTAAAACTTCTGTACGTAGTACTTATTATTGTTCTGTGGTAATACGAACGGAGCAGATCTAACCTGACTCAGACTCAGATGCACTAATGATTCTAGCAGTCAAAAAACACTTTAGTTCATGGGTACAGTTACGAGTACCTACTCTAGATAATCAAACGCAGTGAAAGTACACAAAGATTACGAACTTAAGGTTTTGGTTTCTCAAATTGGTCTATTTCAATGTTATTTACATAAGTCAATCTCCAGAGTTAAATTACTTAACCTACTTCATTCACATGAATCCTTCTAAATTATTCAGATTGTTGACATTAGAATTGTGAACCGCGCAATGGAAGAGTAAGGAGAATAAAATAAAAAATCATTTCGTTTATTTCAATAGAAGCAATAAGTATTGATTCCAAACAACTGATACGACTTTCAGATACTCCCACCGGCTTTATATCAAACCTAAAGAAAGTATGTTAATGCAGCCTTTAGAAAACTAACAGATGGCGTCTGAAGAGAGTCGGCGAGTCAACAGTCCGTTTAATATCCGGACTAGCGGATACCGCGACTTCGGCCGCCATTAACATATAAATGGGATCTCGATTCTCGATCGTCCCCGGGGACGCTCTGTAATTATTGTCGCGGTCAGTCAGATTTAATTAATACATTTATAGACGGGTCTAATTTATGCATGTTGAAAAAGTAATTAAATGGGATCTATTTTTGAACACTTGTTGTTTTTAGTCGACTTCAAAAATGGTTTTCGGTGGAATTTTTGTTACTTTAGAACTCTACATAGGAACCGATTTGAAATATTGTTTTTGTTTGATAGATAGTTGGTACTTCTTACTACGCTTTTTAGCTTTTAAAGCTCTAAAATGTGGTTCTAAATTCTGAAACAGTAGAAGTTAGTAAACATGGAAGATATTCTTTTTATTTTTGGTATTTATTTTACAACGCAAACGGTAAATTGTGGCCGTTACTCATGACAGGCGCTTACGACTGCTCATAAAAGGGATCATATAATAAGAATACCTACAGCCTACACGATATTCCGGTACATTCCAGACTCTGGGTTTTTAATTTTCCTGACAAGGCTCACCGACAATTATTAGATGTCCGTCTAATGGGCTGGGCAGACATTTATTACTGTCGTCTGGCGTTAAAAACGGCTCCTCAAGTTGTAAACTTACAAAAGTTTCTCAAGAACAAAGCTCGTCAACTGTGGCCTTGACAGTTCAATTACATTATTTTCTCTATTCCACCGCTTGGCCTGGTGGTTCGCGTACTGGAATAATACTTCAGGGGTCCCGGGTTCTATCCGCAATAAAGAATTTGTAAGGTAGATCCAGATGTTATAGTCAAACCTCGAAGCTCAGGCGCTCCTAGGTTTGACTAGTCAATCCTCAGGTCTGACTAGAAGTCTTAGTCAAAGCCCAAACATTTCGGCCTTTGACTAAAGAATGTTAGTCAAACTAGAGACTAATTTGGTCAGTCAAACGTCGAAACTGAATTTAATGAAATCGGGGTTTGACTAGTCAAACCTCAATTAAGACTTTTAACTAAACTACACTTCATTTTGATATTGAACTTATTACATAAACTTTACGGTCGGTTATCTCTTTAGGTGAAGGTATGAGTACGAGTAACTAAACTTGTTTACTGCGGTCGTTTATCAGTTTTTCTAAACCGGTCTTGAAATTACTATTTTTAGGGTTCTGTACCTTAAAGGGTTAAGGGCAAAAACGGTACCCTATTACTATGACTTCGCTGTTTGTCTGTCACCAGGCTGTATCTCATGCCTTCCCAAAATATTTATTTTTATAGTCACTTTAAAAATCATCCCCATACGCCATACAGCAATAAAAGAGTCGTACGGAACCCTTCGTACGTGAATCCGATTCGAACTTGGTCGGTTTTCTATAATTGCTGCCGGCTTCTGTAACGCTGCGTCTACTTTTGACTGAGTCTGTCAGTCGCTTCTAGGATTGACTAGGCAAAGCCCGAAACAGATTATTTTCATTTCGACGTTTGACTGAACAGTTAGGAACTCCTAGGTTTGACTTAGTCAAAGGCCGAAATTGGAATTTATTTCGGGGTTGGCCCGAAAGCCTTGGTCAAACCTAGGATAGACCAGTCATTCCGCGAAGAGACTGCATATCGACCTTTGACTATGACATAGATATCCACATGTTTGGTACCTGATGAACTGATCATGCTACTTCATACTATTGTTCTGTTTTAGATACAAAAAACATACTTGGTGAAGGATTCTTAATTCGTAGAAAGCCTCTCAATTCCAGAGTGACAAGGGTTATTTTTACGGCCGTCATAAGCCCACTTTCCGATAGATATGTGGTCAATCTGTGACGGATGATTTTGATAACTTATGAAAAGGGACAAAAATACTGTGAGAACGATCTTCAAAACACCGCTAGATGTTATTGAACAGAAAAAGAAATGCTTACATTTCTGGTGAAAACAAGGTTCACCTATTTTTAATTGTATTACCTATTTTATAACATGTTCACTTTCTTTTCAGGCTTGCTAAGAGCAAGTTTCTAAATGAACTCAAGTAACATTTATATAAAACTAGCTTTTGCCCGCGGCTTCACCCGCGTGAAATTAAGTTTGTCACAGATCGTCATAAATTATAGCCTCTATGTTATTCTGAGTTATAAACAATAATACTGTAAAGCATCAAAATCCATTCAGTAGTTTTTGCGTGAAAGAGTAACAAACATCCATCCAGACATCCAAACTTTCGCATTTATAATATTAGTAGGATAGTTAACCTATATCCTATTATAATCTTTGACTCGAAACATGACCTGAATTATCTTCGTGCACAAGTTACTCTGACTGAGCTACCAACATAGTGAGAGCTATTGAAGTGATATCAAGCAAATTCAGAGCAATAGCGACTCAAATACCGAGGACATAGTTCGCTGCTTTAGATTAGCTCGGCGAACTACTGGGGTCAATTATTTTCATGCCCGGAATTCCTTCCCAGCGCTTTGATAGAAGCGCAATGTTGTGGAAAGCTAAACCTTGAATGCGCCATTTTAGAAGCATTGCTACACGATTGAGGAAACCGTTAAATATTTTTCATGAAATGGAAATTCATTTCAGACAGTTTTATGCCGCTTTTTTGCATGACTTGGCGGGGGCACTGCCGTGCCCCCAGATAAACTGATTACATGATTACTTAGGACATAAATATTTTCGGTTAAAAAAGGTAAGGTAGTAAGTAGGTATGTGTTACGTTACGATATGTAGGTAGGTAGGTATTTTTATAATCTTTCAACGTTGACCTGAAAGGGCAATAAAATAGCTTGTAAAGTTATTCAGTACCTAACTTAAAAGTTTGAAGTGCTAAACTAACTATAAGTTACAAAACTTATTCTGTTTCGACTGTGTTAACTTGTTTTTGTTGGTTGGGTGTTCGCTAGTCGAAGAAAATTCCTTTAATGAAAAATAAATGTACCTAGGTACCTACACTCAAAGCAAATGAAAGTCACTGAAAACGTACATGATTTCAGACTGACTTTTCTTAACTGAAACTTAGTACATAGGTAATCATGTTAATGGCTTTATAGTATTAAGATTAATTATTTATCAGTGTTGTGGATTAAAACCATTATTATGACATAGACACCTAGTTAGTAGGTACCTCTGATTCTGGATAGGTTTAGGTATTTGGGTTAACTATCAAGTATTTATGAAATCTTGCCTTTCTTTAAGTTGAATAANCCTGATTTTTCAATAGCTGGATAACTTTTAACTGAAGAATATGTTTGGCATATTGACAGTTTTAGTATGGGAAATAAGTCAAAATGACAGTTCTATTCTTCAGTTAAAACTTAACCAACGATTGAAAAATCAGCCATTAGTTGAATAAAAAGTTATACCTAGTAGGAAATGAATTCTATACTTACTCGACTTTCGAGTTACTACATCCTCGTGTCAGTAAGAGCAATATTTAAGTTCATTAGAATGTGCAAACCTAGATGACAACCTAAATATTTCTTAATTAAAACAAACATCCCTAATAGAATACCTTGTTCAGCATTAAAGCAAAAGCAATCTATACAACGTGGTTTAGATTCCTACAACTATCGCACAGCATCCTGTTCGAAGAATCTTTGTAATCTAACCTAATAAGTATTCAACATCTATAAATATTAAAAACAACTGCGAGACGGTAAAACAGGGAGTCCTGTGGGTGCGATAGCTGCGAACAATCCAGTTACTTATATCTCCAACNTCTCCAACGTTTTACAATGACTACTGATTTTTGAGTGGCGACATCCGCAGCTGAATACTAAAGAGGCTGCAGGCTGCGACAACTCGCCTGAAACGCTCGCTCCTCGCGAAAATCAATAGACACATCTTCGAGATGACTCTCAACTTGTTCGAGGATTCAGCACCGTTTTATATAACGTTATTTGTTGACAAGACTGCAGCGTTATCAGTGCCGTCGCAGGGACGAGACCGCGCGGCGAGTCGACGTCCTACCACGCCCCAAAGATGCTGGGTCGTGGACCACGGTTTCGGGGGGGTTCGTGGGGCGGTGTTGATTCAGGGTGTGGGTACTTACCCGCGTGAGCGAGGTCCCGATATAGGCGCCATTGAGCGGGGCAGAGCGCGGCGGAGCGGCGGTGCGCGGCGGCGGTGGGCGCACGACTGGCGCCGGGCGCGTGCGTGCTGCGCGCGCATGAGCCGTCTCCGCGATTTGTTTTCCTCCGCTACTCCATGGGCCTTGGTTAACAGCAGTGAACGAGATTATGCTCCCGTGTAGATACAGGACGTGTAATGACGGATAAGTGACAAGGACGCAGATATGCACGATCGAGAATTCTTCAACGCTCTATCCTTCTCTGAGAGAACCATTACGTCCCGCCAGCCGGAGTTCCCAGAAACATTGTCGCCGCTTATTCACGTCGTGGGACGTTGATGGCAATAGTTATGGATGAGATTTTAAACTCTCTTGTTTGCGGGAGGTAAACTAGCCCCCCGTACGTAGTTGGGTCACGTACACGAATAATTGAGGATGTTTCGCAATTCACTCAATTGCATTCATCATTTATAATTTTGTCTGTATCCTGAAAATCTTTCTTCTCGCGTTAACACGTTTCACCACGCGAGAATGATAAATGATGAAGATACTGATGAAACGAAAATTAACTAGTTACTAACTTACATATTTTATAAATTAAAAACACCCAATCCATTGCAAACATCGATGATCGAACCCGCGACCTCTAGCTTAGTAGTCCGATACGCGAACCACTATACCAAATTGCCGTCAAAATTCTATTTTTTGTATGACGTTTTATGACTGGATAAAAGCGAAAGATAGGTATATTTCACAGGAAGGAATTTACGAAAACTACTCGTAATTTTATTTTAGTTTGAAAATTCGTTAGTTCTTTTACTTAAAAACATGCATGACTACCACCGAACGTTTGAAGTTAGTCCCATTTACAGAGCCGGAAAAAATACCACATCATAAAAATCGAGCGACCCCTGATTCAGTACGTAATAATGCAGGAAAATAAACTCAAGATCCGTCGAACCTTTTCCTAGTTGACCTTCGCAGTGCGTCCTCATCGCGGATGGGCCAATCCTCGTTCTCCGAGCACGTACTCTCTGCTGGGGTGGACACACGCGGAGAACGTGCAGGACAATCGGGAATACTCATCATGATAAACAAAAATTGTTCCGCTTATCACGGTCTTCTATTATAGGAGCTTCTATCATACAATACAAAATCGAATGCTAGATATTTAAAAAATCTGAATTCTTTTTACTTGTTTTCCCGTGATTACATAAGGATGGTCGACTGCAATAATGATTAATGTCCTTTCTACCTTGTTTAAGCATCTTTTATATCCTCAAGTAAGTACAAGTCCCATAAATCATTTAAAAACAAAGTAAAAAGACATTACTTAGACGTGCATTTAGAGACTTTATTTTCCGAATGCACATGTTTGTTACTGTCTACTTTGTTTTAAGACATTATCTGCTCTTCTTCTACACCCTGTATAGAAAGAAATATACATCGTTTTTATTTCCGATAAAGTAATAGTATTGGGGACTCTACCGGGGCAGCGCTACCAGTCACGTAGCCGCTACACGCTCCTGATATCTTGATAGGTATGTGAACCCTACTCTAACTACATAAATACTAGTTCACAGACTGCCAGTTAGTAGGTATATGGTGGGTACGCAACACATTATACCTGGGCTATTTATAAAAGAACCACTCACTCGTATAAACAGTCTTTAAATGATACTAATTAAATATTATCATTATTCAATCTGTAACTATAAATTAAAAATTACTTTCCAAAGCTAGCAAGCATTCCCCGCTAGGAAAAGACATGAAAAACACAGCTTTTTCTTTTCATGCAAGGTAACAACTGGTTGTAGTTTGTTTACAGAATTTATCATGCGCTACATAGAGCGAGTTTTCATACAAAAGCTCTCTGGGGAGGTATAAAAGAAGAGAACAATACCTGAACTAGGGTAAAACCTAACTTCAGACCGGAATTTCTTTATTTTTATATTTGATTCTTACATTTTAGTTTCGTAGAGTTCGTTATTGTTAGTTTGTTCCGTTTTTTGGAACTTTTGCTTTGCTTCTTCTTGTGGCTATTTATTATAATTACATTAAGATGAAGGAAGGTACTTATTTCATATTTTCGTATTTTTATTATTTGATAGCTGGGCTTTAGCCATTTTAAATCTTCGCGGACTCTTATCAGCTTCCTAGTCTGACCTCATGTCCTTGGCAATATTATGTAGGACATTCACCGTTTCTCGTCCTCGTGCAAACTAAAATTAATATCTATATTAAACAAATTATACCTACTTCCTATTATAATTTATCAAAAATCTTATTTTGTGTGTTTACTCGTAGTCGCGTAGTATAGAAGGGTAGAGCTTAGGGCTTCAATACTCAATACTCAATATGTTTACCTGATTTAAGGCCATCTAGCAGCAAGTAGCAGAACTAAATAAAAAATAAAAACTATTTCCTTGTTGATTGACTAATTTAGTTATAAAACTCCGCAATAGATGGCGCTATTAATGTAGCAACTATATTTTTTTACACTGGCAATAAACAAAGTAAATGTCATTATTTCTTTCAGTTGGCTGCACTGAGTCATCTTCCAGAATCAAAAAGTGTGACGGACTAGCGAGAAATTGTGAATTTTGTGAAAAAATATAGTCAAAAATGTCTACACTCGCTGCACCACTTGCTGTTGCTGGGACTAGGTCATCCGGATCTTCAGTCAGGAGTCAAAATGGTATGAATTTTATGTTAAAATCCACACGAGGTAACACAGCCCCGGTGATCACATGCATCGCCACTTATGGTTACATTTTTATAAATATTTCGTAAAATCAGTATCAAATTGCCAGATAATCATTATTTCTGGGATGTTTGTTTCGTAAATGTCTCTCCTGTTTAATTTCCCTTAAGAATTTAAAAATTTACTGCTAAGTACAAGGAAACTAACCTATGAAAGAAGCAACATAATGAGAATCCATTGAATGATGTCTAAAATCTTTATCTAAAAAATTCTGAAATTTTTCAAGGTGAAAAAAGGGTGGAAGGAAGCATTAATGACTGTTTGTTTGTTGTAGTCACGGCAGCAGCTGCTATTGCCAACATTGTGAAGAGTTCCCTGGGCCCTGTGGGCCTGGACAAAATGTTGGTGGATGATATTGGAGATGTCACAGTCACAAATGATGGTGCTACTATCTTGAAGTAAGTGTCCAAGTCCAAATCACTTACATTTTGTATTTTCACAAGTAAAATCCTTTGAGTGTACCAAAAAGTTTTTTTATTTTAATTATATTTATTATGTATTTCAGAATGCTGGAGGTGGAACACCCAGCAGCCAAGGTTTTGGTAGAACTGGCTCAGTTGCAGGATGAGGAAGTTGGTGATGGAACCACATCTGTAGTCATAGTTGCTGCTGAGTTATTGAAGGTTTGTAAATGTTCATATTATATCAAAAAATGACCCTTATATTATGGCTGTCAAAATAATTACTGTGAGTCTGTGATATTCTTAAAATCTTGCTATAGTAGTGTTCAAATCTGTTCCCTCTACAAGCTATATCGTCACTTTCCTTGGGCTATTTATTTGTCCAACTCTGTTCTAGTTCCAATGCATAGAAATTTGAAAAAAAATTATGTTATTTTTCAGAGTGCAGATGAACTGGTGAAGAATAAAATCCACCCGACCAGCATTATCTCCGGCTACAGGCTGGCCTGCAAGGAGGCTGTCAAGTATGTGCAGGACAACCTCACCGTCACAGTAGAGTCACTCGGAAGGCCGTCACTCATCAATGCTGCTAAGACCACCATGTCATCCAAACTTATTGGAGCGTATCCTTTTTCATAAACAAATCTTTTGACTAGTAATGCATAATGGATATTAAAACATTTCCTATGGCATAAGAGGGTAAGACAAGATTTTAACACTTTAAGCCTTCCTTTCCTTCTTGAGCCATTTGTTTCAACTGTGTAAAAATGTAAAATATGTAACCTGGCAAAAATTTTATCTCATTTCATGAATAATAAAAAGTAGTCTGTCATACTTGTATTTCCATAATGCAAACACTCACTGTGAATGTTTTCCTTAACAAAATATCAACAGTGATTCAGAATTCTTCGCCGAGATTATAGTAGATGCAGCACAAGCAATCAAGGCTATGGACCCTCGTGGCAACACAATCTACCCCATCAAGGCCGTCAATATCCTGAAGGCCCACGGACGGAGCGCTCGGGAAAGTGTCCTGGTGAAGGGATACGCCCTCAACTGCACCGTCGCCTCACAGGCCATGCCCAAGAAGATTGTGAATGCTAAAATTGCATGCTTGGACTTCTCGCTACAGAAGACGAAGATGAAAATGGGTGTTCAGGTAAATGGTTTTCTTTCATGTTTATTACATGAATTTGTAATTGTTCATGCTTTATAATGTTAGCTCTGTAGATCCTAGGACAAACCAAACTGCTTTTTTATGTCAGTAGTAGATAGGCAAATGCCTTTCGCATTTTTGTCTAGTACCATCAAGTATTAAGTAGTATTATTTCTTGTTTATTATTTAGTGTCAACCCAATTGTGGTAATTAGTTTTATTCTTAGCTCACATAATGCATGTAATCCCAAATATGGCACACCAAACTTAAAGGTAATGCTTTTCAGATAAAATTATCATTGCTAAAACTTCCATAGTTATCTTTCACACACACTTCTGGGACACAACTTTCATTTTAGTTTAAATATTGGTTTTGCTAATGTGTATTCAGTGGAATAAAAATCTTTTTTCTTATCCTAGGTACTAGTCTCCGACCCCGAGAAGCTAGAAGCGATCCGCGCGCGCGAGCTTGACATCACCAAGGAGCGACTACAGAAGATCCTCGCCACCGGCGTCAACGTCGTACTCTGCTCCGGCGGCATCGACGACCTCTGCCTCAAGTACTTCGTGGAGGCCGGCGCCATGGGCGTGAGGAGGTGCAAGAAAGCTGACTTAAAGAGGATCGCTAAAGCTACTGGAGCCACTTTCCTGACGTCACTCACTAATATGGAAGGTATGTTGTAACTTTGAAAGTCTTCTCAGAATATGTATGTATTGTTATTGACGAGGAAAAGTCACTGATGAACTTTACACTGCAGCTCTAATAGTTGGTTATTGGCACAACTGCACTGTAACTTGTTTTTGTAAGAATGTCTTTGTAAGACCAATAATTTTGGTGCCTAAAGCCTGGTCCGTGAGCACGTAGAATTTTGTCCAATGACCCCAAGCTACCCATCCTTATCGCTCGCGTGTAATTATATTACTGTCGCAACTGTGCGACGGGCGCCCGCAGTGAGTGTGCGAGCGCGACAGCAACATAATTACGCGCGAGCGATTAGGATGGGTAGCTTAGGGTCATTGGACAAAATTCTACGTGCTCAAGGACCAGGCTTTAGAAAATTATAGTATGTATAATCTACAAAAAATCAATTTTGTGTTTAATCTTAGTGGAATTGTAGAGGGTACAGAATTGATTATGATACATTTATTGATGTTAGATCTGTTGCTTGTTTATAGGTGAGGAAGTTTTCGAGCCGAGCATGATCGGAGAAGCCGCCGAAGTTGTCCAGGAGCAGATCTGTGATGACCAGCTCATTCTGATCAAGGGGTAACTATTAATTTAATTTTAGGCAGTTTTATTAATTTCCTAATGAATTTAGCCTGTTGTACCACTGTATTTTTATGTGTGCAATAAAGATTTTAAATAAATAAACAAACACGACGACAANAATGACACGAAAACATCTGCAAAAGCGACGTGAACAAAATGAAGATATAAATACAGAATAAAAAAAACTGGTCCTAATTAACTATCGAGAAATGGACTAGGCGATTAATACATCGCAGAACTGAACATCAATGGAAAAGATTTTCGACCACGATTTCATTTCTAAAACTAACAAAGTTCTGCGCCAATTAAGCCATGTATTCATTAGGCAACATTTGTTGATAAACTGTTTATGACTAGTGTGAAACAAGTTTACCATAAACACAGTTTCTGAAACTTGGCCGTCCTCACTTGCTCTCCACTCATAGAGGGGAGAACGGCAACATGTATCATAAACAATATTTCATCACCTATGTTTATGGACTGTTTATACATTGTTTACAGAGATTATGAAACATTGTTTATAAACAGTGTTTATCAACAAATGTTGCCTAATGAATACATGGCTTTATGCTCTAATTTAGTAAACATAACAGTGTATATCTCTATTCCTCAGACCTGTAGCTCGCACGGCTGCTTCAATAATCCTTCGCGGGCCCACCGACGCTTACTGCGACGAGATGGAGCGCTCGGCCCACGACGCGCTGTGTGCTGTCCGCCGCGTGTTGGAGTCCGGTCGTTTGGTGCCCGGGGGCGGCGCTGTCGAAGCCGCGCTTTCTATCTACCTGGAGAACTTCGCTACTACTCTGGTTAGTATACTTTCGTTTCAGCCAAATGACGTCCACTGCTGGACAAAGGCCTCTCCTGATTAGTACACGCCTCGAGAAATCTGTGCGTCTTTTGTAATCTCTTATACTCGATCGTGGTGCCATTATTCCCCCTCTTGAGACGAAATGGAGCGCTCGGCTCACGACGCGCTGTGCGCCGTCCGCCGCGTGTTGGAGTCCGGTCGTCTGGTGCCCGGGGGCGGCGCTGTCGAGGCCGCGCTTTCTATCTACTTGGAGAACTTCGCTACTACCCTGGTTAGTATACGTTCGTTTCAGCTAAATGACGTCCACGGCTGGACAAAGACTGGTGAATATTCTGGTTGATACATGCCTCGAGAAATCTGCGTGTCTTTTGTAGTCTCTTATACTCGATTGTGGTACCATTATACGCCGACTGAGACGAGACGGAGCGCTAGAGTCCGGTCGTTTGGTGCCCGGGGGCGGCGCTGTCGAAGCCGCGCTTTCTATCTACCTGGAGAACTTCGCCACCACTCTGGTTAGTATACGTTCCTTTCAGCCAAATGACGTCCACTGCTGGACAAAGACTGGTGAATATTCTGGTTGATACATGCCTCGAGAAATCTGCGTGTCTTTTGTAGTCTCTTATACTCGGTCGTGGTGCCATTATACGCCTACTGCGACGAGATGGAGCGCTCGGTCCACGACGCGCTCTCTATCTGCTCTGGTTATTATCTGCTATGCTTAGTGATACTGTAACATCTTATGTGATTGTTTGTAATAGGTGCTACTACCGACACTATTCCAATCAATCATTGACTCTTATTGTACGCGCCTGTACTTCGGAATCGTGTATCATTGTTTATGGTGCTATTTAGAAGAAAAAAAACAACCAACCAAAGCGATTCCACGCACTTCTTTTGTGCACATATTTAGGGCATTTGCTAGAAATTGAAGATCGCACCGGACAGTCGCAGACGTACCATGTACGGTAAACATGTCACGGGTGGATTTACGTGTGTCTCTGCTGGGCTTATTCCACTATTCCCCGTTGACAATCCCCGTCAACGGGGATTAGTGAACTTTTTGTTCACTATTCCCCGTAAACGCAAATTGGAGCTTATAATGGGGAATAATGAACTAAAAAGTTCATTAATCCCCGTTATATTAGGATTTTATTTTGAACGTAATGGGGATTAATGAACTTTTTAGTTCATTATTCACCATTATAAGTTCCAATTCGATTCGACGGGGATTGTCAATGGGGAATAGTGGAATAAGCCCTCTGCTGATCTCAAAATCTGTCAATGTTCACTTTATGCACTAAGTTGACGGTACTCCTTCAGCACTTATTCACGTATATCTTCGTCCACAGAGCTCCCGCGAGCAGCTGGCCATCGCGGCGTTCGCGCAGTCACTGCTGGTGATCCCCAAGACGCTGGCCGTGAACGCGGCGCGCGACGCCACCGAGCTCGTGGCAAAGCTGCGCGCATACCACAACTCCTCGCAGACCAAGGTTGGTATATAAAGTGTGGTCTAGTGCTTCATCATTATCATTTCAGCCACAGGACGTCTAAAGCCTGGTCCGTGAGCACGTAGAATTTTGTCCAATGACCCCAAGCTACCCATCCTTATCGCTCGCGCGTAATTATATTGCTGTCGCGACTGTGCGACGGGCGCCCGCAGTGAGTGTGCGAGCGCTCACGGACCAGGCTTTACTGCTAAACATACGCCTCCCCCAATGATTTCCACATCGCCCGGTTGGTACTATGGTAGCTCTAGTGGTTGTTAGGTACAGACATCCATTCCCTTGACCAAGGTTCGAATTGTATTACGTGGTCCAGAAAGCGCCTTAAGTCGGCCCGTTTGAGCCGTTTCAGAATGGCTCATAAAACTGAAAAGAGTTGTGATCTCAAAATGTTACAACCAACACCAAAGAAAAAGAATTAAAACAAGCACTAGCAACCATTATTGTCGATACGCAAACGCGCTTATCTGATATCACCAAGCTACATTGATTTAACTACCAGAAAAATCTGTACATTTATACTCGTATTTAAGTTTACGTACACTGTCTCACATACGATATCATAAAATCTAAAACTACTTTTATTTCCCAGGTTGAACACGCCAACCTCAAATGGGTGGGCCTGGACTTAACAGAAGGCACGCTCCGCGACAACCTCGCCGCCGGAGTGCTAGAACCCGCCATATCCAAGATCAAGTCTCTGAAGTTCGCTACCGAAGCCGCCATCACGATCCTGCGCATCGACGATATGATCAAACTGGACCCCGAACAGAGAGGGAAGAGCTATGAGGACGCCTGCCACGCGGGAGAACTCTAATCTATGGCGCAGTATTTGAAACGATCTCATTCGACAATTTAGGCTCAGTACACGCAGTGTAAAGCGATCAGCCGGCGTGCAGCGATGGCGATCAGACTTAAATGCATTGATGGTCATCGCTGCACGCCGGCTAATCGCGTGTGATCGCGTTGGTTTGACTGAACCTTAAAGCTTCAGATAAAGCGTTCAGCCTGCGTCCGCGATGGCGTGCACTTATGGCTTAATCTTTACGCGACCTGGCCGCGCGACCAAATTTCATACATGTCGTTGACAGCAGCACTTATTCATCCCAGGGGAGCTGACATGAATCGAGCTTTACAGCCACTATCATACTGATACAAATAACAATGAGATCGAATTTAATTATAACTATATGACAGTATGGAGTGCTTGATGTGCCTGAATGTTTGTTGCATATCGTTATGGTGTGTCCGGGTTCTTAAAACATTTATTATCCTGCTGGATACAAACAGGATCAAATTGCATTTTGATGGTACAGTCAGAAGTGTGAATATTTTTGTTAAAGAAACATCTGTTATTGGACTGTAGTAGAAAATTATATTTTTAGCAGAATCCTTGTTGAGTGTTTTATGATGATGTGAAGTGATTATATGCAATTTCTTAATTTTGTAAAACAAATTAATTCTGCTATATCTTCAGTAACTATTTCACGTCACAAGTAAGCCTTCTGTTTCAAAGGAAACCTTCATATTTATTATGAATATGCTTATAACATTTAATGCTAGTTTTATATCGCTAGGTTGTCCACTTATGTCAACAATTACTCTAAAATAAAATTTAATTTTAATAACTAATATTGTCTTTAATTTGTTCATCTTCCCCAACTTAAATTCATTATTATTATCTAGGTTTTATAGAAAATATAACTGAGGAAGGAGCTCATTCATGTAACTAATAGCAACTGAGTAGGTTCTGAGCTGTACAGAGTGTTGTTACCAACGCTAAAAGTCAGCAAGACCTCAAAATACAGTAATTCAGACATAGGCCATAGCTCTGTTACCTCATTTATCACTCCTCCACAACTGCAGGAACCACTCAGAGCCCCGATTACGATTACGGTAATTTTTAACGTCAACAATCCAGACACGCTTCTCGATTCTGCGATACGATTGGTCGTTCAACAGCGTACGTCAGCTGTTTTGACCAATCGTATCGCAGAATCAGAAACGCGTCTGGATTGTAGACGTTATAAAAGTTACCGTAATCGGGGCTCAGATAAGCGCTTTACAGTCAGCGTCAAATAATTCGTGACACCCAAAGTAGCCAATAAGTTCGGAATAGGTATCTGTTGAATAAGGTTGTGTCAACAACTTTTTGGCCACTTTGGTCATAGAGGAAGGTAAGGTTGGAAGCTAGAAAAAGCTAAGCTAAGGGCTCCACACACAGAGCATGATTTTAAAAAGTAATAAAAGTGGCTTTGACAAGAACACAGCACAGTAACCAGCCCCCCTAGACAAAACGCACTTTTTGATCGAATCGAAAATCGAATTCGTCAAAACTCCATACAAAAAAGGGGCTTTTCGACCACTTTTCGACTGGTTTGCGATTATAATTTGCACTTTGTCTAGACCCACAGTAACGTCTGTCTCATCTGTGGTAACGTCAGACAGGGGAAAATATGTCAAGAAGTATTTACTTGCACCTTGCACACACATTTTATTAAAAAGGAACCTTGTGTACTTGCAATGAGGGTTTAATCTACACTGTTTTGGAATAAATGTCATATCATCTACGTAAACTCGCGCTATCAGAATAATTTATTTTAATCAAGGTTATAAGAGTTTACCGCTACCATCTAGGCTACCACTAACCTGTGAAGTGTATTGTAAAAATGTTAATTAAGAGTTTAAATAGATATATTCCATTGAGCTCCAAAGTGCGAATTATTTGGGCTCCTTTTTCCACTAATGCATTACCAAAGGTAAGTGTTAGTGTTTCTGTTTATTAAATTCTTGTTAAACTCACTATAGATGTAAATAAAGGCGGCAAATTTGAATGGGTAGGTAGCTGAATTTGTGTTATTTATTCCGATTTTGCCTCTGACTGTACTAACAATTATAGCAAATAAATAAATAAAATTAAATCAGAATCTTAGCTAAAATACATTATTTCAGGAAGACAGAATTAAGGTTGGAAATTGCAACATAAACTACATAAAAGTCGGCAACGGGCCCCACAATGTGCTATGCTTACCTGGTGCTCTCGGCTCCATCTGGACTGACTTCAGGCCGCAGGTCGAAGGCTTCGACCGGGCACAGTTCACGCTGGTGGCCTGGGACCCGCCAGGATACGGGAAGAGTCGACCACCTGAAAGGGACTTCCCGACCGATTTCTACGAGAAGGACGCCGAATACGCTCATGAATTTATGAAGGTAGGTAGCTTTTTGTTAATTACTCTACTTAGGGGGCCGATTCTCGTTCAATAAAATAAATGTCGGAGTTTTCGAGAGAAATTCCCGAGCGCCTAGCAGCTTTGAATAAGTTTAGTCGTATGATTGTAGAGTAATTTTTACTATTTTCTCATGATATGATGTTCTTGCTCGAGAACCGCTAAAAGGGGAAATTGTCTAGGACTGACAATAGTTAGATTTTTATTTTTTTATCTTTGCGGTCTATTATACTAGAAGCTTTCATATCTTACTTTCAGGCGTTAGGCATCCTCTCGTATTCGCTGCTAGGCTGGAGCGACGGCGGCATTTCCAGCATGATCCTGGCGGCCAAGCATCCGGCTGCCGTACGCAAGATGGTCGTGTGGGGCACCAACTCCTTCATCTTGCCTCACGAACTGGACTTGTATCAAAGTTAGTTCTCACTTCACTTCCATTCTTAGAGGACACTTCCTAAAAAATGTGCTAGATTATTACCAAACAGTTTCGGGGTGCGATTCTTGTTAAGTATCATTTTGGGACGTCAGTATTTTAATTAATTTTAAACGTTCGCATTTCATAATTGAATTAATTTAGACAGGTTTTAACGTGATACGCGGTTAAATAATATTGAAATATTGCCTGACATTTCGACCGGGTTGCACCGTCCATGATCACAGGCTGACTGAAGCGTCGAGTGCGCGATCCGTATGGTGGGTAGAATCATCTAATTCTACCCCCATGTTATTATTTTTTCTCCAAGTACCGTCACACTAATTGTGGCCCTATTCTGTGAGGCCGTCGGTGCGTGCGTTAAAACTTGTCTAAATTAAGTCAATATTTTACCCTGCACAATAATCGATCCTAAATTATAAATCCAAATCGCATATCACACGTTCCACTCGGGCTTTGCCTAAAACATACGCTAATAATTCTTCTTTTTCAGAAATCCGCGACGTAAACTCATGGTCGAAATCAATGCGAGAACCCATGATCGAAGTATACGGCGAGGAGTTGTTCGCCAAGTACTGGGCTCAGTGGGTGGACGGTATGATCGCTCTTTTCCGGGCCAAAGATGGGAACATCTGCAACGAAATGCTCAAGGACATCAAGTGTCCCACGTTCATACTGTACGGAGAAAAGGACCCGATGGTCGACAAAGTACACGCCTCGCATTTACTCACTAATATTACTGGTTCAAGGTCAGTTAATATGCTTCTTTCTTATAAATCTTGAAACACTCAAAACTCGCACACTTTCGTCGTCAAAACAGATTAAAACTGTCGCCGACAGACCCACTATATTTCGAAGCTACCTGACATGTTTATTTACTCTTCATTGCCTACCCTCGTCTTACCACTTTCAACGCCCGTATTCACAAACATTAGGTATTATGAGGTCTCACAAAGCGCGTGGACGCACAGGGTCACACACGAACCAACAGAGCTATGTGACTCTATGTAGCTCTATTCAACGCTGTGCGTTCAATTTGCTACTTCACTTATGCAAGCATCGTTTGTGAATACTGGCGTTAAATAATTCAAGACTATTGTTTCAGGCTTCAACTATTCCCGAAAGGAAAGCACAACATCCACATTAAATACGCCGACGAGTTCAACAAAAGTGTACAAGAATTCCTCCTGCAGCCTTAAAATATAAAAACGACCAAACAAAATAAATGTAAGGGGTGAAACGAAAAAATGTAACAAAATTCCCATATTTTATTTTCATTTACTTCTTATAAGCATGTTTCATTTCAGAATAAAACAATTTACATTCAATAACACATAATTCAAGGTTGAAGTGACTCATTTATAATATTACTGTACAAATGATAAAAAGTTGGGTCACAGGACCCACAGACGAGCTGTTTCGTAGATGTGGCAACCTTAACCAGGCTTTGGGACATGAGTCTAGTGGACTTCCAAAAAGATTATTTTGCAACTACACGTTATATTGGACGTTGTTAGTGAAAACAAAATATTAAAATGTTTTTCCTACATTTACTATTAAAATAAATATTGTTCATATAACGAAACGATCTTTGATATCGCCCTGTGCTAGTTATGACACTAATCAGGCACGTAGTGCTCTCTGACGAATATATCCCGCGGCAATATACTTAATTATTGTTCAAATGCTATACAATTAATAAATAAGTAGATATGTACCAACTGTACCTTTTTGTAATTAATAAGATTTACATTTTGCCAAAAGTTACATTTAATTAAAGTTATAAGCCTGATTACTTTGCAGTAAAAACAATCAACTGCGGGCGTTTATTTCCTCTATTTCCAGGCAGTTCAAGCCATCAACGTATCAGTAGTCTACGGTTCAAATTTCCTGGAAATAATGGCCGATGTCACGCCATCTGATCACATAATCACAAATTTGGAAAACGTTGATATTGTTATGAATTTGGAGCTCATCTAAAACCTTCAACCGAAGTCAAAAAATAAAATACGCATCAACAATGTGATCGATTCATGTTAATAAATATGTATTGCACTCTCTACAAAAGTCGAGTTATAAAAACCTGCTCTAGTGTGGTGACCAGATACACCAGTACTAAGTAAGGCACGCGAAGGCTCGGAAGCACAGTATCACTGCTCGCCGCTGCCGGCACGCATCGTAGGCGTCTTCATAAATTACGTTTTACAATTATATAAACAACACACATTAAGCGACCTACCTCGATAAATACATAAGAAAATATAGTGACAATATCAAATCATTCGCTAATTCAAGTAAGCTTGTTCTTATCTCATAAATAATTTCTCTACAAAAATAGTATACATGAATGGAACAACACTAGATCCGCCGAGAGCGGGCAGCACCATTGACGTATTCTCGCGTCCATCCGTCACATATATTACAATGAAATAAGATTACTCTTACAAATACATAACGATACAATATTACAACATTATCACCGGGATCATTAACAGTACGGTTTAATTAAATTTTAAATACGTCACGTTCGTTACGTTTACAAGACTAACGTTTCGATAGAGAGAGTCAAGGCACACGCGGGTCACACTCGATACGTCAGACGTAGACGGGTCCCTGCGCGTCGCCGTCGTCGAGGTTGATTTTGTTGGTGAAGCCCTCGTCGAAGAAGCGTCGGAAGGTGAACTCGAAGAAGCCGTGGAAGGTCTTTCCGTTGTCGAGGAGTTCGGAGTCGGACTTGTTGGAGTCGGAGGAGGCGGAGTTGCGCAGCTTGTCGGGGTCGATGGGGTCGAAGTTGGAGGTGTCGGTGGGGTAGTCGATGCGCGGGATGTAGGGCGCGGGCTGGCGCCGCAGGCCGCGCTCGAAGTCGATGGGCTGCAGGAAGGGGTGCGCCTTGAGCTCGCCCGCGTGGTTGCCGAGGCGCGTGCTCTGGCCCGAGCACAGCTTCAGGATCAGGTCCTTGCTCTCGCGCGACAGGTTCGCCGCGTCCGGGATGTGCAGGGTTTTCTCCCAGTTTATCACCTGCAACGGAGAAAGTGTTTGGTGAGAGAATAGAATAAAACTTTTTGGTGACAGTCAATGATTAGAGGTCTGGCTGAAGCCTTTCTAGTGAGTGATGAAATATATAAATAGATCTTTTAGTTTTAGCTCGTACATAAATCACAATCTACCAACTGTAACTGTAGTACTGTCCAAGAACGTGGAGAATTCTTCACTCGTTTATCTCTTTAGCAGTCCCAAACATTCAACACCGCCCCAGTTTCAGTCTAGTAGTCTTTGTCATATTATAGTTAATATACCTAGTGTAATAGAGCAACAAAGGACTGAGCGAGTGAGATGTCACTAGCAGCAACACCGTGTGATACAACTATTTGACAGTTCTTTGCACTTATTGACATGCTGATGAACTGAGATTTTTTCAGATTTTACATGAGTGAAATCGTGGATGTTTATGAGAAATAGTACTTCAGAAACGGAGTCATGATTCGGTGATTTATTTATTGTACAACACAGTGAAATAATCCTGACACTGCCACACAAATGACATCCATCCATCCATCCTAAAATCGGTTTCGTTTGACAGCTTATGGTTGTTGTTCTATTTTCATACCTTGANTGGAGAAAGAAAATTTGTTTAAGAAAGAAACATTTATTACGTGAACATCACTTAGTTAAGGACTAAGAAGGTATATGGAAAAAAAGACAGAAATAGCACACAAATATTACAAAGAGATAAAATGTGAACTGAGCAGTGCCACTTTGTCGCAACAGCGATGCCCATTGCAATGGGACCCTATCCAGCATGTTCCCTGCGACAAAAAGTCCTGAAAAGTGAAAGCGACTGTAGTCCCCACCACCCTGTCTCCAGGTCCCCAACATTCTCCACCCAGTCTTCAACCTACCTTGAGCTGCGTCTCCTGCGGCGTGGCGGCCAGGAAGGGCGGCGAGCCGACCAGCATCTCGTAGAGGATGACGCCGACGGACCACCAGTCGCACAGCTGTAGTCCCCACCACGCTGGCCACCTTGTCTCCAGGCCACCTTGTCTCCAGGCCACCTTGTCTCCAGGCCACCTTGTCACCAGGCCACCTTGTCTCCAGGCTCCCAACACTCTCCACCCAGTCTTCAGCCTACCTTGAGCTGCGTCTCCTGCGGCGTGGCGGCCAGGAAGGGCGGCGAGCCGACCAGCATCTCGTAGAGGATGACGCCGACGGACCACCAGTCGCACAGCTGTAGTCCCCACCATGCTGTCCACCTTGTCACCAGGCCACCTTGTCTCCAGGCTCCCAACACTCCACCCAGTCTTCAACCTACCTTGAGCTGCGTCTCCTGCGGCGTGGCGGCCAGGAAGGGCGGCGAGCCGACCAGCATCTCGTAGAGGATGACGCCGACGGACCACCAGTCGCACAGCTGNAATTTTAGGCAGTTTTATTAATTTCCTAATGAATTTAGCCTGTTGTACCACTGTATTTTTATGTGTGCAATAAAGATTTTAAATAAATAAACAAACACGACGACAAGAAAACATCTGCAAAAGCGACGTGAACAAAATGAAGATATAAATACAGAATAAAAAAAACTGGTCCTAATTAACTATCGAGAAATGGACTAGGCGATGAATACATCGCAGAACTGAACATCAATGGAAAAGATTTTCGACCACAATCGAATTTCTGAAACTAACAAAGTTCTGCGCCAATTAAGCCATGTATTCATTAGGCAACATTTATAAATTGTTTATGACTAGTGTGAAACAAGTTTACCATAAACACAGTTTCTGAAACTTGGCCTTCCACACTTGCTCTCCACTCATAGAGGGGAGAACGGCAACATGTATCATAAACAATATTTCATCACCTATGTTTATGGACTGTTTATACATTGTTTACAGAGATTATGAAACATTGTTTATAAACAGTGTTTATCAACAAGTGTTGCCTAATGAATACATGGCTTTATGCTCTAATTTCGTAAACATAACAGCCTATATCTCTATCCCTCAGACCTGTAGCTCGCACGGCAGCTTCAATAATCCTGCGCGGGCCGACAGACGCCTACTGCGACGAGATGGAGCGCTCGGCTCACGACGCGCTGTGTGCTGTCCGCCGCGTGTTGGAATCCGGTCGTTTGGTGCCCGGAGGCGGCGCTGTCGAGGCCGCGCTTTCTATCTACCTGGAGAACTTCGCTACCACTCTGGTTAGTACAAGTCTTTGCTCCGCCGGTGTCTTAGGGCCTTGCCACACTGGCGGATTGCAAACGTTTTCTGGGCGGAGCAAGGTCCTTAAATGAGCTATTATCGCCCTGTAAGCCTAGGATGCGCGCCGCGATAAGCGGTTATCACGCTATTTTATCGATTTTGCCCATATATTTTGACGTCGATAAAATATATCACGGCGCGCATCCTAGCCCGACTAGTCAATTTATTGACGCGCCCTTACTCATCAGAAAAAAAATAGGCAATCAGCCCAAGCTATTCCACGCATTCTATTTTGGCCAGGAATAATAACCGCGAGGTTATATTATTAACAATGAGACGGTGACGGTCACCGGACAATTATGCTCGGTAGACATGTCACAGGTGGATTTACCTATGACTCTCTGATCTCAAAATCTGTCAATATTCACTTTATGTACAAATTTGACGGTACACCTTCAGCACTTATTCACGCATATCTTTCTCCCACAGAGTTCCCGCGAACAGCTGGCCATCGCGGCGTTCGCTCAGTCACTGCTGGTGATCCCCAAGACGCTGGCCGTGAACGCGGCGCGCGACGCCACCGAGCTCGTGGCCAAGCTGCGCGCATACCACAACTCTTCGCAGACCAAGGTACATACAGCCTCTGTGCTCTAGGCTCTAGCTAGTGTTTCACCATTATCATTTCAGCCACAGGACGTCTAAAGCCTGGTCCGTGAGCACGTAGAATTTTGTCCAATGACCCCAAGCTACCCATCCTTATCGCTCGCGCGTAATTATATTGCTGTCGCGACTGTGCGACGGGCGCCCGCAGTGAGTGTGCGAGCGCTCACGGACCAGGCTTTACTGCTAAACATACGCCACCCCCAATGATTTCCACATCGCCCGGTTGGTACTATGGTAGCTCTAGTGGTTGTTACAGACTTCCATTCCCTTGACCAGGGTTCGAATTTTATTACGTGGTCCAGAAAGCGCCTTAAGTCGGCCCGTTTGAGCCATTTCAGAATGGCTCATAAAACTAAAAATAGTTATGATCTCAAAATGTTACAACCAACACCAAAGAAAAAGAACAAGTACTGCAACCATTGTCGATTCGCAAACGCGCTTATCTGATATCACCAAGCTACATTGATTTAACTTCCAGAAAAATCTGTACATTTCTACTCGTATTTAAGTTAACATCCACTGTCTCACATACAATCTAAACCTACTTTTATTTCCCAGGTTGAACACGCCAACCTCAAATGGGTGGGCCTAGACTTGACGGAAGGCACACTCCGCGACAACCTCGCCGCCGGAGTGCTAGAACCCGCCATATCCAAGATCAAATCTCTGAAGTTCGCTACCGAAGCCGCCATCACGATCCTGCGCATCGACGATATGATCAAACTGGACCCCGAACAGCGAGGGAAGAGCTATGAGGACGCCTGCCACGCGGGAGAACTCTAATCTATGGCGCAGTATTTGAAACGATCTCATTCGACAATTTGGGCTCAGTACACGCAGTGTGAGCCAGTGCAGGCTATCGCGGACGCAGGCTGAACGCTTGTCTGAANTTGAGCTGCGTCTCCTGCGGCGTGGCGGCCAGGAAGGGCGGCGAGCCGACCAGCATCTCGTAGAGGATGACGCCGACGGACCACCAGTCGCACAGCTGCGTGTAGCCCGTACGCTGGAGCACCTCGGGTGCGATGTAGTTGGGCGTGCCCACCAGCGAGTGCGCCAGGCAGCGCTGGTGCTCGCGCTTGCGCCGTCTGCGGATAGTTGATTAGTTAGTTACTCAGATCTTTATCCTGTCTGCACTTAGCCGGTCTATTCCACTTTGATCACCTGGCTTTGATGACCCAGGTGATCAAAGTCCACTTCCAGCGACAATTTAGTGTCCTTTGATCACCCACGGATGATGCTCTGGGTGATCAAAGTGGACTCCAGTTAAATTATTACTTTAGTGTCCTTTGATCACCTACATACAAATCACACCTCCTCTTAAACTTAACACTAGAGTACACGCGTGGCCTACTAGAGTAGACCAGGGTAACATTTTACGCTATAACTTTTTAAGAACTTGCGCCAGAGAGCTGGTATTCCAGGAAAGCCTCGTTGACTAAATTGTCAATAAGCCAGTAAAGCTTGGGTCGCTAGGCGTCTACGCACTTTTCTAAAATTGGCCGTCAAAACTGCGGGTCTACTCAAAAGCCCGAAATCACTCACGAAAAAAATGATGGAAGACTTGCAAAAAATGGATTTACCCCATGTACCAGGCAGTAGAAAGTCTTGAATACTATGACAGATAAAAAACAAATCATATTTTTTCAGTAATTTTTTTTTTTCTAACATGGATCTCAGAGTGCAATTTTGGTCCAAAATTTTACAACTTTTTAATTTGTTTATAATGTTTTATCCCAAATAGTTGTACAAAGAAACTTTGATTATAAAAGAACTATAATAAACACTTTAATCATTTACATAATAATTTTATTCATAAATTGTTTACAAACTGATTTACAGTGATTTTAAATTGGCTTACCAGAGTAGGCCGCGCGTGTATTGGTGTAAAAAAAGGGGCGCGTGTACTGCAGTGTTAATGTACGGACAAACATTGTTTAGGTAAGTAACGCTTTAAAATATTTCATGCTGTAAAAAAAATTACAATATTAAAAAAATGTTTGTACGTACAACAATTGGACATGACGTGACTATTCAGATGAGATGTGATTTGTATGTAGGTGACCAACGGCCGAATACTGAAACACTACTTAAATCTGTCACTCAGCTGACGGGCTCCTAAATTTAAGTATCCTTCAATTTTAANGTGAGCCGCTAGAAGCTTCGATAACCATAAAAGGCGAGAGGCCTCCGGCCAATCAGCGGGCCGCATTGCTAACGGCTAGCTCGGAATGTTCTAGGCGCGCGATAATAATATTACCTACGCGCGCACCCAGATTCGCTTAATATTTTAATTATCCAAAATCACATACACACAGTGTAAGTTCGACATGTTCAATTTACAGTTGACATAGTTAAATATATTATTATTACGGTGCAAATATACCTATTCATTGATAGGTACATAGGTACACACACATAGATACATAGTTTCAGGTTAAAGGCAAATTAGATTCATAAGTAACTACATTTACATAATTAACAATACGTAGGTCTATCAACTACCTACTTCTGGTGGCCATCGTCAACAATGCTGTAAAAAAAATTACTATATTAAAAAAATGTTTGTACGTACAACAATTGGACATGACGTGACTATTCAGATGAGATGTGATTTGTATGTAGGTGACCAAAGGACACTAAATAATAATTTTACTGGAGTCCACTTTGATCACCCAGGGCATCATATCCGTGGGTGATCAAAGGACACTAAATTGTCGCTGGAAGTGGACTTTGATTACCTGGGTCATCAAAGCCAGGTAATCAAAGTGGAATAGACCACTTAGCCTACTGATCCATTTAATGCAATGAGGTAATTAAATACTGACGCTATTTGGTACCTATTTATTATTTTTGAAGCTTATACTATAAAGATAAATGATTTAGAGGGTTCCTGTGGTAGTAGAGCAGTGCGAGAAAGACGACATGCACATAATTGAGCTGTCACGGCATACATTTGAAGCACATCTAAATTCGCGCCGTTGTTAAATCTTCTGCACCGCTTCACTATCAGGATCTGCACTCAGTTCCACTATCCACATCATCACCATTTTCATCAGTTCATTGGCGTGTGCAATGGTTCTCCACTATAGGAGGATGATCCTCTCTAATTTACCGGAGGTAAATAGAGGATTTGACCTACACTCCCGACGCTAGACGAATTAGGAAAGCCTGAGGTGGAATTGTGTAAAGCAATCGTAATCATTTGACAGTTCATAACGTACGATTATTCTGTCAAACGCTTTGTTTAACTGACTTTATCGTACGTTATGAACTGTCAAATGATTACGATTGCTTTACACAATTTCACCTCTGATGTTCACAAACTTTTTTCTGACCGATTGTTATGAATAATGAATGCAAAGCTTGGGAAGGTTCAGATATGCGCTATAACTGGGTGGTTCTCGTACATATTTAAAGCTGTAACCGTACGCTAACCTGCTCAGTGTATCGCCATTTGCCAATGAGAACCACCCAGACACACGCGGTTACCGCATGTCTGAACCAGGCCTTAGAGTTGACCTGGTGGACTGACCTTTCCAACGGCTTCAGCTGCTGTTGCTGCGGCTGCGCACAGCGGCACTCAGCGCCCCACTCGCCCTCTACTGGGTCCATTGAATCCTGCCGCCCGTGGTCTGCAAACAACACAAGGCATATAAATAAATAAATAANCAGGATCTACACTCAGTTCCACTATCCACATCATCACCATTTTCATCAGTTCATTGGCGTGTGCAATGGTTCTCCACTATAGGAGGATGACCCTCTCTAATTTACCGGAGGTAAATAGAGGATTTGGCCTACACTCCCGACGCTAGACGAATTAGGAAAGCCTGATGTTCACAAACTTCTTTCTGACCGATTGTTATGAATAATGAATGCAAGGCTTGTGAAGGTTCAGATACACGTTATAACTGGATGTTTCTCGTACACATTTATAAAGCTGTAACCGTACGCTAACCTCCTCAGTGTATCGCCATATACCAATGAGAACAACCCAGGGTTATCGCGCGTTTCTAAACTAGGCCTTAGAGACCTGGTGGACTGACCTTTCCAACGGCTTCAGCTGCTGTTGCTGCGGCTGCGCACAGCGGCACTCTGCGCCCCACTCGCCTTCTACTGGGTCCATTGAATCCTGCCGCCCGTGGTCTGCAAGCAACACAAGGCATATCATTAAACTATCACAAATAAGTGGCTTTGAATAGAGTTCACCATCAATCCCTAATTTTTAAGTGACCCCTATGAACATAATGGTGCGTCCAGACTGGGCGAATTTGCTCTCGCGGCCAACTCAACATCCTGCTCACTCAAAAGCAGAGTGAACAGGATGGCAAGGTTGCCGCGCGAGCAAATTCGCCCAGTCTGGACGCACCATAACATGATTTTTTTTTCAGCTTGTGAATCATCTTGGTGTCACTTAAAAGTTAGGGATTAATGGTTAAAACGGGCATGAGTCTAATGAGGCAGATTAAAAACATTCTTTTTGCAAAATAACAACTATTACTACAACTAAATAAGACGCACCGAGGGTTCAGCGTGATATATCGTCGTCAGTACGACCTGCCTACGTGAATAATACTTTTTTGAGCTTATGTGAATACTGATTCGTTATGTGGCGGAATCATGTCTTTAGGACAATAAAATGAGTACATGAATTGGAATATTTATAAATAGACCTATTTTTGTGGATTTCGCACTATCAGATGCCTAGATTCTGTGCCATTTATGCCCGTTTTCACCATTAATCCCTAATTTTTAAGTGACCCCTATGGTATCACATAACAGTAATTTTTTTATCATAGGGGTCACTTAAAAATTAGGGATTGATGGTGAAAACGGGCATAAATCTGTTGTTTAAGCGGTCCCGAGACGATCAATCGCGATTATCAATTTTACGTGATTGACAATTGATCGTTTACAAAAGGCATTGAAGTGATTGTCAATTTTGAATTTACGTGATTGAAGCAAATTGATGTTATTTTTAATTGAAGCCCAATAGACAGGTTCCATTGAAGCTAATATTGATCGTTTAGCTGAGCAATTGACAATCGTTTTCGTCAATTGGTTGTCATTAACGCAAATACATTGACAATCGCGATTGATCGTCTCGGGGTCGCTTTACGCTTGGAAGGATTAGAAGAGAATAATTATGTAAAAAGGATTCAAAAAGAATTCTCACCGTTTCTCTGATAGTACTTCGAGTTGTGCGTCCACCGGAAGCCCGTGCACAGGCCGAAGTCAGTGAGCTTGATGTGGCCGTCGCGGTCGATGAGGATGTTGTCGGGCTTGATGTCGCGGTGGATGAAGCCCATCTTGTGCACGCTCTCCACGGCGCACGTCAGCTCGGCGATGTAGAAGCGCGCCAGCTCCTCCTCGAAGATGCCCATCTTGATGAGCAGCGACATGAGGTCGCCGCCCGGGATGTAGTCCATGACGAAGTACAGGTTGTCCTTGTCCTGGAAGCTGTAGTACAGCTTCACCACCCACTCGTTGTCGGCCTCGGCCAGGATGTCCCGCTCCGCCTTCACGTGCGCCACCTGGTTGCGCTTCAGCACGTCCGCCTTGCGCAGCGTCTTCATGGCGTACAGGTGACTGGTGTCGATCTTCCGCACGAGCGTCACTTCCCCGAAAGCGCCTACGCCGATCGGCTTGATCTTCGTGAACATCGACTTGTCCATCTTCGCTCGCTTCAGCCGGATGTAGTTGGACTCCTTCTGCGACAGCATCTTGCGCATCTGGCACTGCGCCTCCGCGCTCAGCCCGATCTTGTTCATCTCCTTCTCCAGCTGCATGCGCCGGAACGTCCTCTGCTTGTACGACTTCAGAATGTTCTCCACGTGCTGTTCCATGAAAAATTTAAACGCCTGGGGCGAGTAATTTCTAACTTTGCAATCTCTCCTCTCGTCCTCCTTCTCTTTGCTGATGTTCTTTCGTTCCGGAATCGGCGACTGATGCCTGATCTTTTCCAGGCCCTTCGTTCGACGTTCCGACGAGCCGTTCGAGCTCTTGTCGGACCCCGAGGCGGCGCACGTGTCTTTCAGTAAATTATTCGTACAGTTCTGATTCGGACACTTGATTTCGAAACCCTGCGACGTCTCCCGTTGTTCGAGAACTTTTTATGCAAAGGAGAGTGGTGGGAGTTGACCGTGGTCGTGTTCTCGTTTTGGCTGCCGTACGGCGGCGGCGGGATCGGCTGCATGCCGCGCTGCACGGCCAGCGCCTGCATCGTGATCGCGTAGCTCGGCGGCTCCGTGGTGGGCACGGCGGGCGGCGCGGCCGGCGCGGCGGGCGGCGTGGAGCCCGGCGACGACGGCTTCGGCGCCAGCGGGTAGCTCGGCGGCGTCTGCTGCTGCTTCTGCTGGATGGAGCTGGCGTACGAGGGCGGCGGCGGCTGCGCCGGCGAGCCGGCGACCGGCGGCGGCGCGACCGGCGCGATCGCCGTCTGCAGCACGGGCTTCTGCACCTGCGTGCTCTTCACGGACTGCATGATGATCGGCGGCTGCACGGCCTGCCTCGCGGTCCACGCCTGGATCGGCGTCGGGCGGGCGACGCCCGAGGCGGAGCCGGCGGACTGCGTGACCGTGATCGGGCTCGGCGAGCCGGCGGAGGTGCCGCCGGAGTAGACGCCGGACGAGGGGCTCTTGCGGTAGTCCTGCGACTGCGGGGGGCTCTGGCGGTTCTGCATGGAGACGGAGTAGGAGGGCGGCGGCGGCACGCCGGCCAGCGGGTAGGGCGGCGGCAGCTCGGCGGCGGCGCCGGCCTGGTACAGCGCGAGCGCCTGCATCTGCTGCGACAGCTGCTGCTGCGCCTGCGGGCCGTTCTGCACGACCATGGGCGCGCGCGCGGGCGGCGCGGGCGCGGCGGCCACGGGGCTGGTGCCGCGCGCGGGCGGCAGCGGCGGCGCGGGCGACATGCGCTTCATGAGCTGCTGCACGGAGGGCGGCACGGGCGGCGTGGACGGGCATCGCGGCGGCGGCGGCGGCGGCGGCTCGGCGAAGGCGGAGGGCGAGTACTGGCGGCACAGCTTGTCGTGCGGCGCGTCGGGCTGGCGCGGGCTGTCGGAGCGCGAGCTGCCGGCGCCCGAGTCGAGCGCGGGGCTGCCGCGGTGCAGGTCTCGCTCGAGGCTCGGTTTCCTTATCAACTTGGTGCTGAGCGCGCTCGTTTTTAGGATACCGTTGAGGGGCTCCTGCTGCTTGGACAGATAATCCAGTGCCGCCTCGAAACGTCCGCTGTTAAATTTTAGTGCTCTCACCGCAGAATCCTGTAAGACGAAAGTCATTTATTGATATTTTTGAAAAAAAAAATTGTTTTAACTATAAATAAATCACACAAAAGAAATATGTACATTTCAAAAACTGCTAGGCTGCTGCTACTATCCACAGGTTCATTTTATTCATTTTTAATCCCTATTACCCTATGAATTTCAATGCTCTTTTCACTGATATTCCTGATAATTGTGTAAAATACATGGATTATTTATAAAGAAAATGTAATTGGTACTGGAACAGTAATGAATGTGAATGTTATCTTCATGTAGAATTAATTATATAGCTTTAATTACATAATTTGCATACAAATAATTAGCTGGTAAGAGATGACAAATTAGGTCCTCTTATAGTCTCCTATATCCATTAGTTTCATAGAGTAAAATACCCTATTCATAGAAAAAATTTAATCTACATTTAAGAAAATAATGTGGGCATTTTCATTCACACAGATATTATAAATATCCTCAAACTTTCATTAGAAATCATCTACCACTTGTTTATTTCTTTTTTAAAGTACTTCAGTCGTTTCTAAAATTGGCCTCAAATGGTTAGAAAATACAATCAGCACAAGATTTTAGTAAGATTTTAAAATGTGATTCTTTTGATGGTAAATAAGATGGCTCTGTGAATGCAATAAACTTTTCTTTAGATTATAGGTGTGTTGAGCTAGTATAATAATAATTTTCATTAATAAGTTAGGAGAATATAGACATAGTTATAAGGTACAGTAGAATACCGATTATCCGGATCAATTAAAACCAGGGGTGTTCCGGATAAACGAAAATCCAGATAATCGATTTCAAACTAAAATCAAACAATAATTAACTTTTTACAATAGAAAGGGTTTTCAATACATCNATATATATTTTTGAAAAAAAAATGTTTTTACTATAAATAAATCACACAAAAGAAGTATGTACATTTCAAAAACTGCTAGGCTGCTGCTACTATCTACAGATTCATTTTATTCATTTTTAATCCCTATTACCCTATGAATTTCAATGCTGTTTTCACTGATATTCCTGATACACAGATTATTTATAAAGAAACTGTGATTGGTACTGGAACAGTAATGAATGTGAATGTTATCTTCATGTAGAATTAATGATATGGCTTTAATTACATAATTTGCATACAAATAATTAGCTGGTAAAAGATGACAAATTAGGTCATCTTATAGTCTCCTATATCCATTAATTTCATAGAGTAAAATACCCTATTCATAGAAATTTTTTAATCTACATTTAAGAAAATAATGTGGGCATTTTCATTCACACAGATATTATAAATATCCCCAAACTTTCATTAGAAATCATCTACCACTTGTTTATTTCTTTTTTAAAGTACTTACAGTCGTTTCTATAATTGACCTCAAATGGTTACAAAATACAATCAGCACAAGATTTTAGTAAGATTTTAAAATGTGATTCTTTTGATGGTAAATAAGATGGCTCTGTGAATGCAATAAACTTTTCTTTAGATTGTAGGTGTGTTTGAGCTAGTAAAATAATGACTTTCATTCATTATAGTGGAGAAGAGAATATAGACACAGTTTTAAGGTAGATTCCTATGCACCAAGGAATATGAAATATCATCCATTAGTGCAAAAACCAACTATCTGCAATAAATTCTTAACAAGATCAAGTTGATTGTACCAATCCATTGCAGATAGTATAATTACTTTGTGCACTAANATTGATATTTTTGAAAAAAAAAATTGTTTTAACTATAAATAAATCACACAAAAGAAATATGTACATTTCAAAAACTGCTAGGCTGCTGCTACTATCCACAGGTTCATTTTATTCATTTTTAATCCCTATTACCCTATGAATTTCAATGCTCTTTTCACTGATATTCCTGATAATTGTGTAAAATACATGGATTATTTATAAAGAAAATGTAATTGGTACTGGAACAGTAATGAATGTGAATGTTATCTTCATGTAGAATTAATTATATAGCTTTAATTACATAATTTGCATACAAATAATTAGCTGGTAAGAGATGACAAATTAGGTCCTCTTATAGTCTCCTATATCCATTAGTTTCATAGAGTAAAATACCCTATTCATAGAAAAAATTTAATCTACATTTAAGAAAATAATGTGGGCATTTTCATTCACACAGATATTATAAATATCCTCAAACTTTCATTAGAAATCATCTACCACTTGTTTATTTCTTTTTTAAAGTACTTCAGTCGTTTCTAAAATTGGCCTCAAATGGTTAGAAAATACAATCAGCACAAGATTTTAGTAAGATTTTAAAATGTGATTCTTTTGATGGTAAATAAGATGGCTCTGTGAATGCAATAAACTTTTCTTTAGATTATAGGTGTGTTGAGCTAGTATAATAATAATTTTCATTAATAAGTTAGGAGAATATAGACATAGTTATAAGGTACAGTAGAATACCGATTATCCGGATCAATTAAAACCAGGGGTGTTCCGGATAAACGAAAATCCAGATAATCGATTTCAAACTAAAATCAAACAATAATTAACTTTTTACAATAGAAAGGGTTTTCAATACATCATTAATTATAGTTTGATTTTACTTTGAAATTGATTATCCGGATTTTTGATTATCTGGAATACCCCTGGTTTTAATAGATCCGGATAATCGGGATTCTACTGTAATGTATTCTTTAATAACTCTCCTCAATTGACATTATAATAATAAATATGAGTTTACAGTTTAATATACAGGAAACAGCTTAATATTTTTAGCAATCTTGTGATCAATTAATATTTACTGACCGTCTTATACATCTTAGCTGAGAATTTAGTGATTAATACTATAAATATTGATAAAAATGGAAGTGTAAATAAATATTACTCTTAAGGTTTATACAAACATACCTCATCATATCCCAAAGCAAGGAGTTGGTTAAGAGACTGTGGTAGCACATTTAAGTCCTNTACCTACATGGCCAACATACCTTTCAGCATCTTTGGGAAGCGAAAAAAAAGACAAATCCGGTAGATTTCTTTTCGAATTTAAACACCCGAACGCCGCACAATATTTCTTTCTCTTTATATCCATTTTTAAATAATACTTCGATCATAGAATTAGGTAGGTACTACAACGCACGCCAGCGTCCTGACGAGTGCGCGCGTGACACTCGACTGATATAATACCCGCCGGCGGGGCGCTTCGCTGTAGGTAATTATCGGATGTACCGCGCGGAGTGAGCCAGGCCTGACTAAAGGTAATTAATTATGTTAAGTAGGTATGTGCATTCATAATATAGTTTTTTAAATATTATGAAATCTATTATCCTACTACACCCTACTTATACATATATATTATAAATGCGAAAGTTTGGATGTCTGGATGTTTGTTACTCTTTCATGCAAAAACTACTGAACGGATTTTGACGAAACTTTACAGTATTAATGTTTATAGTCCAGAATAACATTAGGCTACAATTTATGACGATCTGTGATAAACTAAATTTCACGCGGGTATAAACCAGCATTTATGTTTGATGAAACCATCAAGGGGCACAAAGAAAATGATTGATTGAAAACGAGTACATGAATTTTCTAAAAGCTGGATGTTTATAGGTATTTGAGTGTGACTTTGTTAGCTCTATCACAAAATTTGAGTGATATGAGTAATGTATTATTTAATAACTCTCCTCAATTGATATTATTGTGTAATAAATAAATATGATGACATTATTGTGTAATAAACATGAGTTTACAGTTTAATATACAGGGAAACATCTTAATATTTTCAGCAATCTTATGATTAATTAACATTACTGACTGTCTTATACATCTCATCTGGGAATTTTGTGATAATAAATACTATAAATAAGGTTTAAATACAAACATACCTCATCATATCCCAAAGCAAGTAGTTGGTTAAGAGACTGTGGTAGCACATTTAAGTCCTTGTCTAATCCATTCCCGGACGACGAACTGAAGCCGGAACTGACCCCAGAACTAACAGTGCTTGCCGCTGACGATCCAGGAGGCTCGGAGCTTCCAATATTAGCAAATGGAAGCAAGGAGTTTCTGATTTCGGCAAGCGCTTTCTGGTTGTACCCGGAGGAGCGCGTGGCCGTCTTGCCGGGCGCCGGCGGGTTCATGGCGCCCGCGCCCGAGCGCCTCACGGCTTACCCCACCCCTCCCATCACACGAGCACACCCCACCCTCCACACCGATCAGTCACCGTTCGCATTTGCAACTTGTTTACACTTAATGCCTTGAACAGTAATAAGCTCACTGGGATATTTCAATGTCAACACTGGTCTTCTCAGTCCCACTTTTGATTCAAAACCACATGTTTACACTTCCGAATTTATGAGAATTGATGACGAATAACTCTGAAAACAAAACAAAATATGTAACAGCAAGCTGGGTCACTCATACTGAACACTTTCTAGTTGGATTAGTACTTTGTTGGGGTTGTGTTCTATCTACTTAGTATCTGTTCTAGCGAAAAACACCCTACCATCTTACGAGAACTTATACAACTGGATTTTAAAATTATAACTAATAAACATTTAATACACAATCGAAAAGATATTCAACATGAATCTATCATGACATACAGCTCAGGAATGCCAAAATTAGAGGCAGCTTTTGTTTCACTTAATTAGCACACGACCACTGTTTTTACAAGCAAATTCTAATTAAATGCCAATTACCTGATGTTTTTCACTCGATTATATTCCAAAAGAGAATCACAAACGTCATAATTCCATAAAATAAAAATGATCGTCGAAAGCTCTCACATTACCGATGACATCTTTCTCACACACCACAGGCTTGGATTGCAAAAGTAATTATTTGAACTTTATTCTAATGATGAAGAAAAAAGTATTACTTTTCCTTGAATGTTACAAAAAATAACCGAACTAAGAAAACAAAGAACTCTGAAACACAGACATGCAAGTTGGCAAACCATACAAAGCAACCATTTTGAAGAATTACCACATTCTTTTGTATGTTCAGAAAAGCTACACCAAAATGACGTTTACATTTCATCCGTGATTTTAATGATTATTCTGTTTATAAAAAATCTGTTGAAGTAGAATTATCAGGTTTTTATACAAATTATAAAAATAAAAATGTATACTGCATGAATTCATTAAATTAGTGAATTTATTCATAAAGTTCACAATTAATTTCTGAACGGAAAACAAATGAAACAAACTTTGTGACAAAGAGTTTGTAATTCCTCGGTGCGTAGATGGGGACGATGCGGTCACCTTGGTTTGGTCTTGCGGTCACAGCATTTTCCAAAGGGCTGATTTTTAAATCGTCGTACTGTGGGAATTAAGTCAAAATGACAAGATTAAATAAGTTATCAGTTAAAAGATATCTGACGATTGAAAAATCAGCCTTCCTTATAAGGGAGAATTAAACCAATACCACCAATATGTCCGCCGCGCCACAGATGAGACAGCGCTGCGCAGCCGCTACGGTAAGCCACAGCGCGTCTCCGCTCCGCTTTGAAATGAAAACGCATAATGTTGTTTGTAAGATGACGCGCAACCTCAATCTTATTTATCAAATCTCCGGTCCGGTCAGTCATTGCTGAAAAAAAAAGTTGTCAAATTGATAAGCGGTGACCACAGATATGGATAGATGCAGCATGTGTCAAAACTTCTTCTTCTTCTTNGTCCGTGTCAAAACTTGTATGAAGCCGAGCGTGCCACTTTTTAAACGTCATTAGTGTCATTTTAGCGAATTTTAGTGATTAAAAGTAATCGTATCATCGTACTGCATTTGCATAGTCATCGAATGATATCGTGTGACTCGATTCGAAAATTAATTAATTACTATAAAACTGATAATTTGTTGAATACAAAACCAAAAACATCTTTATTTTCCTTTTTAAAATAAATTAATTCTTACAAATCGTCAAATCTCGTTATTTTTTTTACCCTACCAGCGTTTCAAGACATACATTTGTCAAGTGCATGAATACATGCATCAGTGTGTGTCTTATTGTTATGAGTAAGTACGGTTCCTTGGGATCGGTATGAGTGCACCACATACAGGGACCATGGTTTTAACTCTTAAGAGTACATCGCAGGATATGTATTAAAAATAGAGATGGGCCGACTAGTCGGGAAAGCCGACTATTCGGCATCATTTGTAGTCGGCCGACTAGTGACGACTATTCGGCAAAATATGCCGATTATAATCGGCGCATTACAAAATTAAATATGTTAATGAAATAAAACTCATAATCACCAAGATGATTATGAGGTAGACCAAGGGCGTTTATCTAAACCACTTTTGACTCAAAAAGTGGTTTAACCTGATTTACAATTTTGGAAATCAGTCTAAATTCATAAAAGTTAATATTAGATAAAAATACCAGGAAATCATTACAATGACATTGTGGTGATACATATTGTGTAAAGTTTATGCAATTTGTCCATATAAAAATTATGACACTTTTTTGGGTAAAATATGCATGGAATTGCATACCTACCCTGTGTAGTGGTAGATTATGTGGGGCTCCTCTCATCGGAAGGATGAGGAATACCCACATAAATAACCCCTGAGATCCGTCGATCGTCTTAGTGTGAAGAACTATGTGAATCCGGACAAAGCCATCAACTATCGCAGTCCGTCCCGGCAATTGCCCACCTGTATGGCGGGCCTTGCCTATCAAACGGTGGTGGTAGTCAGTGCAATGCAGGCGGGGGTACCCCCACGCCCTCAGCTCGCTGACCATCACCGTGGAGGGTGGAAAGGAATCAGTGGGCCTAGGATGCGCGCTGCGATAAGCAGTTATCACGCCATTGTATCAATTAATTTTTCCCATATATTTTGACAGCAGGAGGCGATCATATTGTCACCTCCCCTGACCCCTCCACCGACGAAAATTATGACATCTACCTTAGGTACTTGGTAGGTGATTGTGATGTTGCTTTTTATTTTTTCTCATATTAAAGAAATTTTATTTCTCAAGAAGTTATAAATTCCCTTAAGAAAGCTAGATTACTTATTTCTTTGAGAAATCTAGATATTATTCTTCGGACAAGAAGGTACTAGAATGATCGGCATTGCCGATTAGTCGGCCGACTAATCGGCAATTTGAAAACCGATTAGTCGGCTAGTCGGTTAGTCGGCAAAGACCATAGTCGGCCCATCACTAATTAAAAACAATGCTACTTTATACTTCTTCTACTGCTACTTTATTCTAATTAATTATTTGTTACTTGTGCTATTTATTATAATTCTCAATCCGTAAATAATTTCTTCTTTCTACCGTGTTCGTACTACTGTCCTCGTAAAATCATCGTAACCGATTGTTGTAATCGGATTACATGAACATCACTCGACCATGTATGTCCATTTGGACATATCGGAATGGCACGCTTTGACGATCAACTTGCTGTATCTACTCTAATCCATATCTGTGGCGGTGACCTATGTATTACTTTTCTCTATGGCGGTGANGGGGTGCCAAAGATGCCAAACTCTCTCTTTGATGACATTACGGTATAAAGTTACAAATAACAACACCAACTACAAAGTATTTCTGCTTAAAAACTTGAAATCGAACCGCCCTTCCGCCACTGTAACGCATTGTAACGTTTTTCAAGATCTCCTCTCCCCCCAGATTGCATTACGTAGCACTAGAACGCCCCCTTAGCAACAAATACCACTTCTCACTTTAAAAAAACGCTATTTTTGTTTTCACCCACCAGAATGGGTGGTAATGGGTAAAAACCGGGTTTTTACCCAAATCACCCAGTTTTAACCCAATCGGGTGAAATGGGTTTTTACCCACTACCCATCTCTAGCCACAGCGCGTCTCCGCTCCGCTTTGAAATTTAATGAAAACGCTTGGCCTTGGCCCATAATGTTGTTTGTAAGATGACGCGCAACCTCAATCTTATATAAATCAAATCTCCGCTCCGGTCAGTCATTGTTGAAAAAAAAAGTTGTCAAATTGATAAGCGGTGACATTATTGACAATGACATTTCATCTTTTTTCACTTTCTTCCACAGCTACAGCGAAAAGTTATAAAAATTAAATTAATTCGATAATACATACTTAATCGTTTTTTTACAAAAGCAACTTGTATAGTAATAAACCGTTGATAATAATTAAAGTGTTGATATGATCTCAAAATTAATTGAGAAAATGTTTAGAATAGTTTTACTATTTTTTATATTTCAACCGTATTTTGTTGCCCCCGAAAAAGGATTTGTACTAAATTATAGCCCTAGTAATTTTAAAGAACGTATAGAAGAATTGGATGGCAATTTTATCATGTTCTTCGCACCTTGGTTGGTATATCTGCGTAAATTTGTAGTAAGCTTGAAACTGAAATTTTCACAATGATTGTAAATGCAATGTATCATTTTTTCTTTGTAGGTGTCAGCCTTGCGTTCGATTTCATCCAATTTGGCAAGAACTTGGGAAATTAGTGAATTCTAAAGATTCCAAATTTGCTATAGCGCAGGTTGATTGCACTGAACATCGCTTACTGTGCCATGAAAACGATATTACAGGTATACTATTTTAATAGCAAACATATTTTTTATGTAACCTTATTTATTTTCATTAATTAATACCTACTTCACACTATCACCTTTTATTTCAGGATATCCAACTTTATTATATTTCCATAAAAATTCCTTTGATTCAATAGAATATAAGGGGACCCATGATTTGCCTTCATTATTGATGTTTTTAAGTGAAGTGGTTACTACTAAGACTGAGGTGAATTTGCAAACATTTATAGTTGTATTTTTTTTTCTAAACACATTATAAGGCAAATTTACTTTGATTCCAGAAAGCTGAGACTGTAAAAGACGCTTATAATGATGTAAAAATATATGGCGGTGTGGCCTACCTCAATGATCAGAATATTGAGAAGTTTATATCTGAAGGTCAACATTTTGTAATGTTTTATGCACATTGGTGCAAAGAGTCTCAGGTAGTTATTGTCATTCTATATTAACCTGCAACTTAGCTAGTTGGGAGTTTTTATTCTCTTAAATGAGTGCATACTTACAATTAAATGTTTATTTACAGAAACTAGCTCCTGTGTGGGCAGAATTGGCAGTGCAGTATACCCACAATGAATACATACAGATAGGAAAAGTGAACTGCATGGAAAGCCAGATGACCTGCAAAAACTTTGATATCAAACTATATCCATATCTTTTATGGATTGTTAATGGAAGAATTGTAAGTTATACAGAGTAGTACCCAAAGTTACCCATTTGTAATAATGTACTTACTGCCTATAATTTCTTTTTTAAGATGGGTGTAGCAGAAGGAACAACCTTAGATGAACTTAAGGCTTTTGTTGAGAAAATGTTGCTTGAAGAAAACCATGACCCAGAAAAGTTTATGAAGAAAAAGAAGGTTTTACCAGTTGCAAGAATAACAGAGGAAACATTTGAAACATTCTTGGAAAAGGATTTGGTATTTATCAACTATTTCGCTCCATGGTAAGAAAGTTTTTAGTCTTTAATAAGTCAAGAGAGTGGGGAATCATAAACAGATAAAAAGAAAACAGTATTTTACCTGCTTATACATATTGAACTTTGATTTCAGGTGTGCTCATTGCATGCAAATGGGTCCACTATGGTTGAAGCTCGGTGAGAATTTCCAAAATGAAAGTCGTGTACTTATAGCTGATATAGATTGTGTAAGGTCGAAGCAAATATGTGATGTTGAAAAGGTAACTTTTTATCCATTGAAACATACAAACTTTGCTCAAATGAGGTTTATTTGTTTAATTAAATCGTTTAATTTTAGATAAATGGACTACCAACATTGGTACTCTACAAACACAAAAAGATTGTTAATGTTGAACACGGTGGTAGACCACTGGAAAGTCTGATTTCCCTGGTCAAGGAACATCTGAAGGAGTCAAGTGACATTATAGAGGAGGTAGCACACAGTGATGATAACAGCAATCAAAATGAGGACACAAAAAATACCAAAGATGAGCTGTAGAATAAGTAGGTACCTAGTCAAATAATAAATTATTAAAAATAATTTGTATGTTTATTATTTTATCCTTTCTATCCTGCAAGTGAGAGTAACCCTGTTGAAGATATTAATAAGAAATNGAAATGAGTTTTGGTCTTTTACTATTATGATCATACCTGTTTCATACAACTGTGTGTACAAAGCTAAGCCATAATACTCACTGCAGCTTGAAGCTTTTACAAAAAAGCAATTTTATCAATTATGTTAGAGAGCTATGAATTCAAAGGTAAATAATAATCTAATAAATATTTATTCTCAGTGTTTCAATGGGTTGGTTGCAAAACAGACCTATGACACTTAGGTTTATAAAAATATAGCAACCTATCTCTACTCTCAATTGGTACAACATGCTTGACTAACTAGAATAAGTGCACATACTGAGGTAACATTAGTAACAAATGTGTCTGACAATCAAACAAGTTAATATGCTCAACATATTCAAATTACAAGCTAAATCCCTTTCACTTAAATTTCTTTTCAATAGTTTGGGATTGGAAAAAGGCTCCGTCAGCCAGCGTGGCCTGTCTGTTAATCTGCTTGTGGCGATCTCGGGACACTATTTCTTCTAACACTTCACCATCACCTTTTATTAACCTGGAAGCAAGAGACAACTGAGAGGCACGGATTAAACAAAGTTGAGATTATAAATAAGACCAATTAATAACTTAGGCAGTACTTTTTTTTACTAAATTCACAAAAGGCATGGGTAAAATTAAACTATAAACATTATCTCTAAACTTTATAATGCTAACAAAGTCAATTTGGAAAAAAGAATAATAGGATAACCTGTATCTTCCACTTTCTTCATCTAGAACTCTTCTTATAACACTCTGTCTCTTTTCCCACTCTTCTTTTGTCATTGGTGCCATGGCTTTGGACTTCTCCATTAATTCTGTAAATAAGTCATATGGTTAGCAAACAAATGTTAATCTTGAAACAATTTTTTTGTCACTTTTAGCTAAACACTTGCCAAGTGGTATGTCGGCTGACTTGTCATCTTTTTTGATGTCGTCACCCTCGTCGCGACTGCCTCTGTCGCTACTGCTTTTCTTCTTCTTTAGCTTTCTTTTTTCCTCCTTTAATTTCTTTTTTAACGCTCTCTCGGTCTTTTTTTGTTCCTTCTTCAATTTCTTTTTCAGTTTTCTTAACTTCTTCTTCTCACGCGATGAGTCGGAGCTGCTGGAACTAGTGCTATCTTCTGAAGATGATCTTCTTCGTTTCGATTTCTTTTTATCCATTTTATCACAAAAGAAAATAAAGGTGGTTTAAATCAATCTAATTCAAACAAATCGCTAATCAGGAAGCATAGAGTAACTTGTCAGGAAGTACCAAACCCAAACAATCAGCTGTTATTGACAATATTGACACAACAAAACGTCACTTTGACTAAACATTTTTTTTAATTGAACCGAAAAACAATAATTTTTTTCACGTACTCAGTTGACCTTATAAAGAGAGAAGTCGTTATTTTGTCTATATGGAGATAAGTAGAAGCACCGAGTAGAGAACGTCTAAGGCATGAAGCATTGATGATTTCTTTCTATAAGCTTCTATGAGAATCTAATGAAAACCAACCTTAGCTCGCTCATCCATATCTGTGCTCGCTCTTCATGCTTTTTTTATTATCTGTGCTTCTTCTGTCATAGTGACAGCACATACGGATTAATTTTCTAACCTAAAAATTGATCGTCATTGAATTATCTGTATGTATTTTGCCGATTTACACTACGAATTTTGGTGATTAATTTGAATTAATTTAATAGTAATCAAAAATTACATGACAATGACTGAAGAAATACAAAAGAAATTGCAAAAGGAGCTAGAGATTTTCAATGGCGTCCAAAAAGAGTATCATAAGGCCGTTGCCCAGAAACAGCAACTAGATAGCCAGTTGAATGAAAATAAAGCCGTAAAAGAAGAGCTGTTATTGCTGAAGAAGGATGCTGAAGTGTATAAACTAATCGGACCTGTTTTGGTGAAACAAGACTTGGAAGAAGCCAAACAAAATGTTTCAAAGCGTATGGAGTACATCAACAAGGAAGTAAAGAGAACAGATGATCACATTTCTGCATTAGAAAACAAACAGGAGGCATTACAAGAGAACCTCAATAAGCTTAGAAATGATCTCGGAAAGTTAAAAATTAAGGCATAATCTGAACCAGGAAGATTACACAAACGCTACTTATTCTAATGCTTTATGAAAAATATGTTTTCTAACGAATATATCATAGTATTTAACTAATTAAAGTGTTTTGCTTATAAAAGCTAATATAAATGTTTTATTTTCTCCAAGATAATTATGTAAGTCATTAGCTAGACTAGGTCATTTTTACTATAAGTATTATGCTGTTTCTTTATTAATAAATTAGTTTCAATAGTCACATCTTGCTTCATTATCAATATATTCACCTACAGTCAATATACTTTTCTTGAGTTATCAAACTAGGAGATGTGATAAGAACTTAGCCAAAGTCTTAATCTTAATAGTCTTTCTGTGGCAAACCAAAATTCAAATGGGCAGAACCTAGAGGACTATTAAGAAACCGAAAGAGTACCTAACTATTTCCCTCTTTAATTAGACAACAAAGTAATAACAGGCTAACTTTTAGGTAGACTCTTAAAAATATAAACATTGGTGAAAGAATTACTGCAGTAGCATAAAAGCTCCCAGAGATATCACCATATTATGAGGACCCCACTGACATGAATCTAACGTGATTTCCTGGAATCAGGAATGTTATGAAACTTATGCTTTTCAAAGGTTCATTAATACCTGCCTAGGTAAGATCTTGTAAACCTGTGAAAGAGTGTCATTTGTCGTCATAATTTTCTTTACCTGTATCAATTTTCAAAATTAGAGATGTGGTCATCAGCAAATAACAATATTACATGGATCTATTGTAAGGAAGGCCATTTTAATATAAAAATAAGGAATAGAAAAGGTCTCAATATTGATCCCTGTAGCACACCCATAGTTGTGTAGCACTAGAGTGATTCATGAAGAAGGCTTTGGATATAATATGTCAAGAAGAAAACAAGAGATAGTTTATATTCCAGTTTTTGAAAGAGAGGAAATTTATTTTAAGACTAGACCAATATTTCACGCAACCGACACGCGAAGCCGCGAGCAAAAGCTAGTCCTAGATGAAAGTTATTGAAAATAATACTGCTTGATGTTAAAAGATGACGTACTTTTGTGCAAGATTTTTAAATCGTGATTTATTCACACGAGGTCACCATCATCACCATACCATACCGCGTCGTAAGTATTTGCTGAGTAATAAAGTCATCGTCCGTCTTCAGTTAATATTAGGGTCTCACCTATGATAGGTATTAGTCATATCTAAAAGAGGTAAAGTAGATATTTGTATAAAAAAAACTATTTAAGTACACAAATAATTCGGTAACCCACCTAAATTGGAAAAACCATGTCGAAATAGTTAAATCCAAAATATCCCAATTTATTTATGCTCTAGGTGTCCTAAAAACAAACTCATCAAAAGAATCCGCCCTCACTGCATACTATGCCTACGCGTACGCGTGGCTGCGCTATGGCATCATCTTGTGGGGTCACAGTTGTGATGCTAAAGACCTGTTTATAAGTCAAAAAAAATGTTTACGAATAATTGTTAATATAAAGCAGAGAGTCAGCTGTAAACCNAAAACCTAGAGGACTATTAAGAAACCGAAAGTGCCTAGCTATTTCCCTCTTTAATTAGACAACAAAGTAATAACAGGCATGATGTTAACTTTTTGATAGACCTATCAAAAATAGAACCATTGGTGAAAGAATTACTGCAGTAGCACAAAAGCTCCCAGAGACATCACCATATGAGGACCCCACTGATGACGTGAATCTAAAGTGATTCCCAGGAATCAGGAATGTTATGAAACTTATGCTTTTCATAGGTTCATTAAGAGATATCAGTGTAAACCTGTGAAAGAGTGTCATTTTTGCCGTCATAATTTTCTTTACCTGTACCAATTTTCAAAATTAAAGATGTGGTCATCAGCAAATAACAATATCATATGGAACTATTGTAAGGAAGGCCATTATTAATATAAAAATAAGGAATAGAAAAGGTCTCAATATTGATCCCTGTAGCACACCCATAGTTGTGTAGCACTAGAGTGATTCATGAAGAAGGCTTTGGATATAATATGTCAAGAAAAAAACAAGAGATAGTTTTTATTCCAGTTTTTGAAAGAGAGGAAATTTATTTTAAGACTAGACCAATATTTCACGCAACCGACTCGCGAAGCCGCGGGCAAAAGCTAGTCCTAGATGAAAGCTATTGAAAATAATACTGCTTGATGTTAAAAGAAGACGTACTTTTGCGCAAGATTTTTAAATCGTGATTTATTCACACGAGGTCACCATCATCACCATACCGCGACGTAAGTATTTGCTGAGTAATAAAGTCATCGTCCGTCTTCAGTTAGTGTCTCATCTGTGATATTAGTCATCTCTAAAAGAGGTAAAGTAGATATTTGTATAAAAAAATCTATTTAAGTACACAAATAATTCAGTTACTGTATAACTATTCCGAGTCATGCATGCATGCTCGAGTAACTAACTGCATAGCTGCATACCTACATAATGCGCTTCCAGTTACGACGATAGGTGTGAATGAATCCTATGGTGTGTAAGTATTACAGGTGGTAGGTAAGGTAAGTATGTACCTACATAGGTTAGTGAATAAAAAGGTTTCCTGTCTACCGTCTGCTGTCGTGACCTGAGGCCTTTGCCAAATCGTGTAGGTATTTATTTCTGAGAAGCCAGTGTGGTGAGATTTAATATTATTCCAAAATCATAAATGATGGAAGACTGTAGAACTGAAATAACTCATCCTGGTATTCATCTACCTACCTAGCCTAGGTAGGTACTAAATGATGCGCCATCCTATGTTGCTAAGTGCGATGTCTCATTGGTTAGTGATTGAGCGCCGAGCGAGACGTCACGGGAGCCCGATGAATAATTGAGGGAGGACCGCGCATGCGCGAGTTCGCTCCCGGAGCCCCAGTAACGCTACATCACTCCACCGAACTGATGTTGCGTTGAATAAACTCGAGAGATGAGAGTGAAATCGTATTAATTTTGGTGTGTTTTTAAGATGTGTGCGTTGTAATTGTTTGCTTTCGGTCGGGCGTGAGTTCAGTGCGCACGATGCAGGCGGGGGGGCCGGACAGCACGGCGGTGTCGGAGGCGCCGAGCAGCGAGGACTCGGACTGCGAGCCGGTGCCGGAGCCCGACGCTGACGCCGCGCTCACCGAGGAGTGGGCGCGCGAGCTGCTGCTCGGCGCGGGCGTGGTCGGCGCTAATGAGGTTCTAATTTGTTAATTAATTGGTGCAATTGAGCGTTTCTCAGAGCCGAGAACATATTACTCATTTATCTTTTATCTACAATCTTGGAAGATATAATTAGTTAAATAAGTAGTTATGTATTTCGTTATAATATGGATAATAATGNTAATATGTAGTATTGAAAAACTATTTTTAAGAAGATATAGAGAAACCGCTCTTTTTCATACTTCGGAAAAGTCCGCGTCACCGTCTTTATTATGTTTCTGTTATTTTTTACAGGTCAATGTGGAATCACGTGCTGGCGTGGCCGGGGCGCTCAGCAGGGTGCTAGCCGTCACGGTCGCCTACGAGAGCGGCGGCGAGCACCGAGCTCTGCCCCTGGTCGTCAAACTGCCGCCGAGAGACCCCTTCGGCAGACTCTTCGTGGCTGAAGCCCAGTTTGATACCAGAGAGATCCTCTTTTATACAGAACTGGCCCCCGCCTTGAATAAAATAGCTGATGAAGCGTTGGGCCCTGGTGCTGGACTGCCCATCCCCAAATGCATAAAGGCTAGGTTACCAGGTTAGTTTTCTCATCAATAGCATTGGTAAAATATAAGTGTATGTTTAATATTATCTAGATGATATGCTAATGATCTAGATTCCCAGGTCATCACACAGAAGTTAATGTCTTTGTGAATGAACTCACGAGTCTTTCTATTCATACACGGGAGTTTACGCGACAAAAAAATTGCGTTCAAATTTAGTCCTATTCCTATGTAAGAAATTTTTACACTGTTGCAGCGTAGGTATAAGTAGCGCAATAAACACTAAAATGTATTTTTACACAACCCGCAAGGTCATAGAAGTAGCTAAATAGGTGCTACTTACTATGACTATGATAGCTATTATGACCTACTTAGTACCTAATACCTACAAGTAGGTATAGGTACGTTGAAAAGTGCATTGTATTAATCATCTTGCTTGCCTGCATCGTGCACCACTTATGTCTTTATAATAGGACACTCACCTCCTTCCCTCTAGTGAGCTGCAGACTGCTGACGATAGGTGTTCTAATTCCAAAAGCGCTTGACCCGATTTTTGGAATATGTAGGTAAATCGTTCAACTGATCACTGTTCATCGAGATTATACGTCGTGATAATCAGCTACTTAGTTACAAGTAACTTTAAATAAAATTGTAAATTACAAAATTACATTTTCTTCAAGTTATATTTGTGTTTTCAGATGAAATCGGAGGTGACAGTGAGCTTGTTTTGGAAGACGTAACTTCACTCGGTTTTGAATCTGCAGACTTTGCCGAGGGTCTGACGGAAGAGAGAGCCAGAGCAGCGTTACACGCTGCAGCTCGATTGCACGCTTTGTCTCTCGCACTGCGTGAGAGAGAGGGACCTTTAGACCAAAGGTTCGACTTCTTATTCCCATGCGAGAGAGCGGCCGCCGGGTACCTACGTCTCGTGAGAAGAGGGCTGCCCCAGCTCGAAGCGTTTCTAAGAGAACGAACCGACTGCGTCGAGGAAGCGGCGGCCGTGTCCGCGCTAGTGGCGCGAGCTCCTTCCCTGCTCGGCACACTCCTGAGGCCGGCGGAACCGGCGCCGCTGGCTCATGCGGATTTCTGGAGCGGAAATCTCCTGTTCCGGGAAAGGGAGGGGGTGACCGAGTGCATCGCCCTGGACTGGCAGATGGTGTCGCTGGGGCGGCCGATGGACGACGTGGCGCTGCTGCTGCTGTCGTCGCTGACGCCGGAGCTGCGGCGCGCGGCGGGGGACGCGCTGGTGGAGGAGTACGGGGAGCGGCTGGAGCGGGAGTGCGCGCGGCTGGGCGCGGCGGCGGCGGGCGCGCAGGTAGCAATGGGCGTTATTCGTTATCACGGGTTATCAAACGAGTGATCAGCCTGACCAGTGATCACTCGTTATCCAGAAACGCCTAAACTAGTTTTTTTATTAACGTCATACAACGTTAGAATCTCTTCGTTAATCAACACGATTGTTTCCACAACGGTCTAAAGCTAAACTGAATTCACTCTTAAGCAAACAACATAAGGTAGATGTTTGGTTGACATAAAAAATAACGTGTTTCCCGCTTCGTTATGACATATTTGAGGACAACGTCGTACATTGACGATTCTTAAACATATTTTTGTAACCTAAAGGAGTAAAGCTAGTAATGTATGGTGTCCAATTAATAAGGATCGCAACGAAACGAGTGCGTGTCATAAGTTCCTAAATGCCTTGTAGCTAACCAAACACCTAACGTTAAACGTTATAATTATCACGCTTGCTTCTGAGTTGTGGAAATAACTTCGTTTAAAAAAAACTAGTTTTGAAAACGTTATTCGTGATTCGAAAACCGTCGCGTTTAGTTATTTGAAAAAACCATAACGACACATCTTTACGCGCAGGTGCGGCGCGGGCTGCGGCCGGACTGGGCGCGCGCGGCGCTGCGGGCGCTGCTGCTGTGCGCCGGCAGCGTGGACGTGGCGCTGGGCGAGCCGCGCGCGGAGGCCCGCCTGCTGGAGGCCGTGCGCGACCTGCACGCGCAGGGCGTGCTCGCTCTCAAACCGGACACGGACGGTTCTGTGTGAACGTGTGCCAAGCGCGTGCCGAATTTACGATCGCCGATTATCATTGTATGACTTGCAGTCCGGTAACGATGTAGTGTATTTAGTTTCCGAATGTTTAAAGCACAAATACGTTAGCCGTGTGTTATTTATTCGTCTTTATTAACAACGATTGGATTCGTCGAAGGAGACGCCTCCTCCGTGTCTGGTGGCGGTGAGATGCCTAATCAAAGACTGAATTTACGGTATTACATAGTGCATTTGTGCGTGTGTGTACCTAACGTAGGTATATTGCTCATCGTATCAAAGGCTAGAGATTCATTGCGGTCTATTGACTATTATTTAAATAAATATTAAATTATCAAAGACATAAATGACTTAATTTTATTTAATAGGTAAACCCACCATACTACCTGTACTACTGGGTCTACTGGTACTACCTTGTAGAACACAAAGTTTCCACATACCCAATTCAAGTCTACTTGACTACTAACCACGTGACTGAGCGCGGAAAGTTCTCTTCATAGCAAAGTTACCGTGATGCGATAGCGCGATTGTCGGTGGATTCGATGCCTAGGTTGGGCAACACAAAGAAATGATAAAATACATGTGATTTTCTCCACATAGCAACGGAAAGAAAGATTAAATAATGCTAAACAGCTATAGGAAGAAAATCTCAAAGTAATTTTCGAATAGAAAAAATATTTCGGTATAATCAGTGGCCATGACCATGACCAAAAACAAAGACAACTTCTCCCGACTATAATCGAATAATAATCGTTCCATCGATGATGTCACAGATTTGGATTAGAGGACATAATTAGAGGATGATGTATTGTTTCAGGACGTATATTGCAAATGTCAGAAATGTCACACATGTCAAAAATTGACCCCCGCTGTGCGTTTTCATAAATATTTTGGAAATGATCGTTTTTACATCAAACTGATCGTTTTAAGTCATTTTTTAGATATTTTTTGAGGCCCTATTTTCAATAATGGCCCAATCTAATCAAGTGACGTTGAATATCGAAGATGAGGCACCCACTGAGAGCCCACCGCGAAACAACGCATTACACAGACTTGACTCAGTTTCCAGACCAGTGCTTCCTAATAGAAATAACTTAGGTTTCGGTGACCGTTTGAATAATGTTTTTAGAGAAATCCGGCCGCTCGTTGAACATGCTCGTATGGTAAGTATGACCAATTAGTGCTTAAAAATCGCTATTAATGCAACACACTTTCCTAAGAGAAAATTTCTAGAAACTGAATTTATGTGTTCATTTTGTCACCTGACATATTGTGCTTCAGGGTAATAATGCCAGATTATCTTTGCCAACTTGGTTGCCGCGAACCACTCCTGGCACTCATCAAGTAGGGGAGGGAAGCTTACAGCGGCCACAAAGCTCCATAGCACATGTGAACCTTGGGCCTGGGGCTCAAACCTATGCTGTGACGGACCGCGGCACGACGCCTACGAACCGGGCCGCGTCAGCCAGCCACGGGGTCAGCAACAGCCCATCAAATGACTCAAACTTATCTGAACATGGCCCCGATCACCCTGAGATCAATGTTTCTGTGAACCCTGCCAACAATAACAACATCCATGACAATGCTGATAATGACAGTCAAAGTGAAGATGGCACACAACAGGTAAAATATGTTTTCCTTTTGTATGTGATGCTTANGTATGGTTATTAGGTAGTTACTGATATTCTAATACCTCATAATGAACCATGACTTGCCTTAACAATGTTTTCATGCTATAACTTGTTAAGGTTAAAAATAAATTCTAGTTACTTGTAGGTATAAGTAATATTTTCAAGACAACAGTAGTTCTGAGAAATAATGATAAGCTTTCCTAAGTGCATTATTCCATCTTATTACTATCTTTTTTATGGCTACAAGTTAATTAATGGAAGGAATAAGATATAATGTCTTTGTATATTATTTCTTATCATTATTTGAATCATACTTTGTTGCAGGTGGTGGATGTCCGAGCAACATTAAACCTGCTGATACGCTATGCCCCATTCTACTTCTTGCTCTTCATAAAGTTCATGTATGATAGCAGGGAAGGTCTCTTCACTTTTATCATACTGTTTTGTACATTTACACATAGCAACAGTTTAGTTAGGAGGTAAGAAAATTGTGTAACAATTANATTCTACTTCTTGCTCTTCATAAAGTTCATGTATGATAGCAGGGAAGGTCTCTTCACTTTTATCATACTGTTTTGTACATTTACACATAGCAACAGTTTAGTTAGGAGGTAAGAAAATTGTGCAACAATTAAATCATGGACTATTTGATTAATTGTAAATATTTGAACAATGCAGCAATGTTGTAATTTTGTTTTTTTTTTTATATTTCAGAGAACATGGAAAACAAATGAACAGAAGCATAGTAGCATTATTTAGTGAATTAGCTTTCTCTGCCAGTTGTATTGTCATTGTTCACTTTCTGTTTGGGCACGGAAAGTTACTGCCCAATATGGTGATGTTCCCTGCATACACAGATCCTATTGATGTATGGGAACTGTTATGGCTTGTAGTGCTTACAGATTTAATAGTTAAGATCATCACTGTGGACATCAAAATTTTGGTCACAATGATGCCTGCATTTATATTGCCATTCCAGAAAAGGGTAAATATTTTAACTACACTGGTTCGTAACCAGTTATAATACCAGTCCTTTATTTAATTACTAATGAAAAATCATTTACAGGGTAAAGTGTATTTATTCACTGAAGCAGTATCTCAACTGTACCGTTCCCTCCTGACCATCCAGCCATGGATATTTTACTTGATGCAGTCCTATGAAGGCTCTGAAAAGATGGTGGGAATGTTTCTTACATCCATCTATGTAATTGCCAAGATTGTGGAGGTACTTGTGAGATTGAGGCTGTTCAAAAATGCCACATGGACTTTATTACAGAGTGTGGTAAGTTATTTGATCTCCAATTCCAAAGTTACTATTTTCTATTGTTAGTAATTTTGTCCATTCTGATACTATACTATAGTAACTTGGTGTGATAAACAAAATATTTATTTGCACAGTAATTGTTTCAACTGTTTCATAATCTTTATCAGTTTAATTCATTGCAATCAATGAATTATCCAATCTCATACCACAAACTAGCCTTTAGCTTCTTAATTTTTTTAAAGTTATCAACTAACCAATGCACATGGTTCACGAAAAAGTCGGTGACCATTGTCCTGTGAGGCTCTCCTTTATAAATATTCTTCATTTAAATAAAAAACTTATTATCAGAATCTGGGGACGAAGCCGACTGGCGAGCAGCTAATGTCAGCGGGAGACTCGTGTCCGATCTGCCACGACGACTACACGACGCCGGTGCGCCTCGGCTGCAGCCACATCTTCTGCGAGCTGTGCATCTCGGCCTGGCTCGACCGCGAGCACACCTGCCCGCTGTGCCGCGCCAAGGTCGCCGAGGAACCCACCTGGAGGGACGGATCCACCACGTACGACTTCCAACTGTATTGAAGCTCTGGTAATTTTGCTGTTACGCTCCGCACTGCGCGTTTAATCCATCTTTGTTGGATAGTGAGTATGTATTAAAAGTTCTACCTACCATCAGTACTATCTGGCCCATGTATAATTGTATATGTATCGACTTGCTTTTAAATCTCACTTTTGTTAGATATAAAAATATAAGATTCCTTGTTTATATGATGAAGCAACTTTTTTTGTTAGCCAATGCGATAGATTAACATCTTGTTTAATTAGAGCTAGCATGATCACTTAATCCATTACGTAAGGGGCTATTCTGTATCTAGACCTTCCATTTTATTTCTTTTAAATGATTGAACTCTTTTGGACCTGATCTGATTATCTCATGTTTGAAAGAGGAAGAATCGCATTATTTTGTTCATAGTAAATGTACTTTTGATATCCAATTTTAGAATAATTAATTAACTATCGCAATTTTGTATTTACAAATTGCTTTTTATATATTTATGTTTTTTATTTTAATTTATATTTCTTAATTACTGTTATACATCTTTTAAAAAAAAAGAAATATCCTTTTCTTATTATCGTATTTTTCTCAATCGATGATGATTTACATTATTTATAACTGTTTATTAACTCAACAAGATAAATGATAGTATACATCCAGAAGTGGGCTATTGGCGCTATTGCATATAATTTAATCACGACAATCACGTGAAGATGATTCAAAATGTACAATCCACTGCTATTAAAGTAATACAAGACAAAGAACAAAGGCAAGAGATAAAAGACACTAATGACGAATGCTTTTACCACAAATATTTAGTCTTTGTAAATATTATTTATTTGATTGAACTATGAATTATTACACATAAAAAGAATGTACATATATTAACTGTTACAAATTATTTTTATTTAGTATACATATTGCATATTATATTGATTAGCATCAGTTATTAATATTCATTATATCTATTATTTATAAAATGACTTCAATTCTTCATCTTTTCTGGCTGTTATTGTTATTTTATATAAAATATGAATTCACCAAAAGTAAAAATGTTTTTGTTACTTTATATCAGTCTTTCCCAAAGTGGGCGATAACGCCCCCTTGTGGGCGCTGCAGGCTTAAATGAGGGCGGTAAGAGACCCAGAAAAAAAATCGGGACGTTGTGTAGAGGCTTGGGAGGCGTCACCTACTAGGAGGACTCTTAGACATCGACTGAGCTCGACTCTTGACTACAAAAATGGGGGGCGCTAAAAAATAATTTATTCTCAAAGTGGGCAGTAGACTAAATAAGTTTAGGAACCACTGCTTTGTATCATCATATCGCTGCTGTTAAGCTTTGAAAAAATGCAGCTAAGTAAAACTAAGTTTTATAAAAGCTGCTGATGTATTTGTTACAAGATATAAATATAAATGTAGTAATTAAAAATTGTTTCTCTAAATTCTAACTGTTGCTTCTGTGTCCTTCCAATCTATTTAGATATAAAATTAATGTGCTGTTTCAAGTAGATGTTAGCTAATTAAAAGTTGCTCATTTTGCCAAAATTATAAAAGCTGTCCTTTGACAACCGTCAATCAGGGTAAACTAGTGGTAGTGTATAGGAGCTAGAAGCACATTATAGCCTTCACGCCATTTGAAGCAGACATACATTTATTTTAAATGAATAATTTTCATTGCCCTGGTTGACATGTAAAAAATTATCAAAATTGTACAAAAATTAAGTCGTCATCATGTACACAATCTTCAAGTCTCAAGTCTTTGATGGCTGTAGCTCAAGAAATATTGGATACATTATATTTTTTTAAGATTCCAGTGTGTGAAATAAGTAACTATTAATATTTTAATGTTAATGTAACATTTTAACTTTTTTTCTTGTGAATTTATTTTGGAATGAACTAAATTATTATGTAGTACCTATGACTGTATGATTATGATTATAGGTGACTATAATGATAAAGGGCCTAAACAAAAATGTAATGTATTTTTTTGTAAATATTATTATCTTTACGGTTCAGTAAAAGGCAAATGAATACAGACTCATTCTAAGGTCAACATCATTCACGTGTGGGTACAGATACGTGTCTGTTTAAGATATTTTTTTCAGAACTTGCTTGATGAATAGACTCTTTTGGTAAAAAGATGTAGTTTTGCACAGATTTGGTAGTGTTGAGTATCCAAAAAAAAATTTGTTGTGTAAATATAAAAAATAATATAAGGGGGTCAATTGGCATATAAAACGATTTAAATAAATTAAGTAAGGAGAAACATAAAAGAGTAGAAAAAAATATTGTTAATTATTGTTATTTAGAATGGATGATTGTGAATCTATTGTGTGATTATACCCCTTCCTTTATTTGAAGTATGTATTAAATTTTCCGTACGGTTTCTCTTCCATTACGTTCACTCACGCAGCTTCGCTAGCCGTGATGACCATTAAAGGCACATCAGTAAATGATTCAATATAAAATAACGCCGCATCTTTTAAGTCCCTATTTATAAGGGCCGCTCATTATCGCATTTATGTTAAAACAATAACTTATTCCAGTTCCAAAAGCCAAAATATTTTTAAAATTTGTAAATACCTTACCTGTCAATATATTTTATGTATATTTTTAGAAATAATAAGCGTAATGTGATATGTTTTAGCTACCCTGTATATTATTTATTTATATATTATGCATGAAGCAGATTAAACATTAATATAGTTGTTTAAGGTAATGAATCTTCTTTATTTTCAATAATTGGCTATTTTATTTTTACGCCCGCATAAATATTTTGGTCAAGCTACGCACATGCAGTTAAAATTGTCAAGAGCTAACCAAGTTAAAATTAACCTTTCCATTATAATATCACAGCAAATTATACAACACTGAATTTGTGTAGCCAACTTAGAACCTGTTAATATGTATTTATGATTATTTTTATATTTCTTGACAGATAATAAGGATCAGCATTCTGTGAATTTTTGTGTACACTGCCGGTAATATGTATGCTCTCATGTAGGTACTTATTACATTTATTTACAACATTTACAAATATTAATTTGCATTTTGTTTATTTATTAGTTAGAAGTTATGTTTTTTTTATATTTATGAGTGCTTGTTATTACTAGATAATATTCATTATTATTTTAATATTATCATCGTACCGTTTATTAATTTTGTTTAGAGCGTTATAGTACTGTTTTACCGAATAAATGCTTTGTCAGTTTCTCTCAATGTAAATATTGCTGTGAGGGAAAAAGACAAGTGTTTTAGTCAAAACAATGTTATATTAATATTTTAGATTTTCACAAAAGAGCGTTACACCTTAATATAATACGTATTAGTCAGTTTCGTTGTTTATTATTGTGAATGTATTTCGTAAAAAATATTTAAATTCGAAGTCTGTATGTTCATTAGAATCAGGGTTGTCCATGACATTCCAGAATGCAAAGTGTATTCTATTCTTTTGATATAATTGAAACAAAAAAACTAAGTTTTTTTAATTAAAGACTTTATAATATTGCAGTTTTTGTTATAAAATAAAATTTTGGCTTATAAAATAAAAATTGATTGAATACAATTTTCTACCAAAAAAGGCACCAATTTAGCCGTATTTCTACAACATTTGTAAAAAGTAATATTATGAGCTTCATTTAACTTTGTAAATATAATATTATTATTAAAATGAATTAATGATAGCCTATGCTATACGATAAAATATGCTATACGAAATATGACATTGTTGAATTATAGAAACAATAAGTGTGTTTCAAACTAAGTAAGTACTGTATGTCTAAAAATATAATTCTATGTAAAATATTTTTGTAGGAGCGTTGCCTACTAAATCCTATGAAATATGGGTGTATTGTATAATCGTCCAAACATAAAATAAAGATGTTAAGAAACAAGTAGTCACATTTTTTTTTTATTTTACCACGTCTCCTTTACTAGTAAAGAAGACCGATAAGAATAATTATTGAGGAATTCATTCAGTATAATATAATAAAAGAAATGATAGATTTAATCACATTTTAATCATAGTTTACATTTTATATAATTCACATAACGTAATAATTATCACTTAACATTACTTTTTGCCTACAAACGTGAAAAATTAAATAATTTAGATCATTAATAGTAATTATTATTCAAAGTATCACAAATATCGGATAGAGTAACACTGCACTGTAAGCGCGAAGCATCTATCGTAGCGGGGCTGCCAACTTCAGATTGGGGCCTTACAATACTTATCTAGTCGTGTGCTTACTTCGAATCGATACACTCTTATATTGGCACAAAGATTGGTGCATCAGTGGACGAATACTCTATCGAGAGACGGGGAGCATGCGACCTCATCATGTTCACTACGCTAGTATACTCCGGGAAGCGGCGTCCGCACTAGGGCACATCTGTCGTTGCACGATTCATTAATATTATTTCCATTCGCGTCACATCTACGTTCTCCACTGCGGCTTTAGAAACATACTCATCGGACTGCGGGACTAGAGTGCGGTGCGTCAGCGCAAAACGCATCTCGCTTCTGCTTTCTAACTCTCAATAAAACTATCAATCATCTTTTTACACAACGGAGAAATTACGTATAGAGTATTTCGATCGATTTCAAATCATTTTCACTTCAAACGTCCGGAGCCGGAGCGCGGTCGCGGCGGACGTATCGCCGAGGCGTCGATCACATATCATAATCGAACCGGTGAGCTGCGTTCATTCAAACCGGACATAGATCACTGATATTCTTATTACGACGTCAATTGTCCCGTTACAATGAGGCTATCGTTTTAGCGCTCACCAGTTGGCGCCTCTGTAGAGTAAGGTCCTGTCACTTGCTAGTAGCGAAGATAGTGGCGCCGGCTGGTGAGCGCGAAAATGGTAGGAGGAATATCGCATTTGCGCTCATCAAGATGGCGCCACTGTGGCGAGGTCTTGTCAATCGCCGGGGGTGCCAACTGTTAAGTATAAAAACGATAGCAGTCATTCCGAATCGTCTCAGCCAAGGTTACGCGGCGGGTCGCGGCGGCGGCGGCGGTGCCTCGGGGTCGGGTTCGGGTGGCGCAGCGGAGCCGTAGAGGAACAGCGAGCGGAGGCGCGCGGCTCGCGAGGACGTGGACGGCAGGTCGTCGGGCCAGGACGCGGCGGACGCGGCGGAGGCGGCGTCGGGCGCCACGTCGGCCACGTCGAGGCGCGCGGCGGCGGGCGAGGGCGCGTCGTGGCCGCCCAGCGAGCCCGCCAGCGCCGCCAGCGACGGCGCGCGCAGCTCCGCGTGGTGCGAGCCCGCCGACAGCGATGCGTCACCTGAGGACACAAATATCAATTCAATATTTAGCCTAACATTTTGGTCTTTGAAATATGTGCATAAAATTAAAATTCATAAAATTCATTTATTTTTGCAAATAGGCTTTAAAAAAGTACTTTTACACGTCCCAATATTAACCCTACCACTGCGTCGGGACAATAAATGGGCCAGTGCTGAGAAGAAGCAGCGCAAGAAACTCAGTCACTATTGCATAAAAGTATTATTTCCCATACATTGTATCACATACGGAACATAATACGTAATAATAAAAAGTCGAATGCGATCTGCAACGCGGTGTCTTTAAACAAAAACGTTACATTTCGATAAATGTAAGTTTACTTCTTGTGCTGATCGGGCGCGACCCGTTAACGTTATCATTGACGTCATTCCAGATCACCTATCAAAATATTAAATAAACAAAACACAATCAAAAGGCACAAGACGTATGATGTCTAGCCGCATAAACAAATGCCGGCGCATCACTGCGTAGCACCACACCGTAAACGTAGCTCGTGACGGGGCTATTCTCAATTCTCGTTCCAATCGTTCAGTTTGAACATGAGCGGGTGACGTCACTCACCGATACTGGGCTCGAGGCGGCGTCGAGGTCGGGCGCGTCGTCGAGGTACACTAGACATGGCGGGTGACGTCACTCACCGATGCTGGGCTCGAGGCGGCGCGAGGCGGCGTCGAGGTCGGGCGCGTCGTCGAAGCGCGGCGGCGGCGGCTGGGGCCCGCAGCCGCCGGCGCGGCACAGCGACACCGGCACCACGCCGTACACGTAGAACAGCAGGATCGGCACGCCGATGCCCACCGCCAGACCCGCCACCAGCGGGGACACCACCAGCTGGGGAAATTACGGCACAGTTAGAAAAAAAATGACTAAAGTTCAAGGCGATTAGCATTTTTTGATCGGATCGAAAATCGAATCTGTCATAACTTCATACAAAAAAAAGGTCTTTCGACCACTTTTCGACTGGTTTGCGATAACTCTCTTCAAACTATAATAACGCGACGCCAGCGCTACGTCGACCCGCCGCTCAGCAATGGCTCCGCGTCGACGCTGCGCAAGCGCTTGCAAGACATCGGCACTTGATAGATGCTAGTTCGTTCGTTTCAGCCAAGGCCTCCCCCAAGGTTTTCCACAATGAACGGTCCTGCGCTGCCCGCATCCAGGCTCTTCCCGTGACCTTTACCAGATCGTCGGTCCACCTAGTACATTGGTTCCCAAACTTATTTGAGACGCGCCTCCTTTCGACCATACAAAAATTCCGCGCCCCCCCTCCTCCAGTCAAGTTTCAGCGGTCGCAGATTTTTTATGCTTAAGTACACAGATGGCACGCGCCCCCCTTTGAAGGTCCTTTGCGCGCCCCCCACTTTGGGAACCAATGATCTAGTAGGAGGCCTGCCCACGCTACGTCTTCCAGTCAGATAGATGCTAGTGTGGGGGTTCTAATACTCATAGCAGCGGCGACGCCAGCGCTACGTCGATCCGCCGCTTAGCAATGGCTAAGCAGCGACGCTAACCTAGCGCCGCGTCGACGTTGCGCAAGCGCTTACAAGACAGCGGCACTTGATAGATAGATGCTAGTTCGTTCGTTTCAGCCAAATGACGTCAGCTGCCCGCATCCAGGCTCTTCCCGTGACCTTTACCAGATCGTCGGTCCACCTAGTAGGAGGCCTGCCCACGCTACGTCTTCCAGCCCGATAGATGCTAGTGTGCTCGCACTGGGCTCGTGCCTATGTATTCAATGAGGGCTATCGTTTTTATACTTAACAGTTGGCACCCCTGGCGATTGACAGGACCTTACTCTACAGTGGCGCCATCTTGATGAGTGCAAATGCGATAGTCCTCCTACCACTTTAGCGCTCACCAGTTGGTGCCACTGTCTTCGCTACTAGCAAGTGACAGGACCTTACTCTACAGTGGCGCTAACTGGTGAGCGCTAAAACGATAGCCCTCATTGATACAGTATCTGATACATTACATGCTACACGGCTAGACGAGTACCCTGCTTTATACTCACAGCAGCAGCAACGGCAGCGGCTACGGCAGCACGACGGCGGGCGAGCGGCGCTCGTCGCAGCCGGCGGTGCGCGCGGCGGCCGGCCCACAGCGGCAGCCCCACCCAATGACACTTGACAGACGCTAGTGTCGGGGTCCTAATAGAGGTACTCACAGCAGCAGCAACGGCAGCGGCTACAGCAGAAGTCTCTACGAGCTGTGCCCCGCCCACTGCCACTTGATTTTAGCAATTCTGCGAGCTATGTCGGTCACCTTGGTTCCCCTACGGATCTCCTCACTGATTCGATCACCCAGGGAAACTCCGATGCAGATGCTAGTGTGGGGAGATAAAGATTGTACTCACAGCAGCAACGGCAGTAGCTACGGCAGCACGACGGCGAGCAGGCGGCGCGCGTCGCAGTCGTCTCGGCAGCGCCTATACTAAATAACGCGACGCCAGCGCTACGTAGATCCGGCCGTTCGGCACCCGCTTAGACTTCGCAGCGACAAGGTTCCGCGAGCGCTGGCAAGACAACGACCGCCGCTCGACTATTGTGGCGAGCCCACTCGTAACACAAGCTTATTTAGCTTAACACGGGCTAATGGAACTTAGTAATTTGGACAATACAAATTGCTAATAATCTTTAAAAAAAAATATGACACTTGATAGACGCTAGTGTCGGGGTCCTAATAGAGGTACTCACAGCAGCAGCGACGGCAGCGGCTACGGCAGCACGACGGCGGGCGGGCGGAGCACGACGCAGCCGGCGGTGCGCGCGGCGGCCGGCCCACAGCGGCAGGCCCACCAGCAGCGAGTATCGAACGTCGTCTCGGCAGCGCCTAAACTAAATAACACGACGCCAGCGCTACGTAGATCCGACCGTTCGACGCATTCGGCAGCCGCTTAGAGACTTCGCAGCGACGAGGTTCCGCGAGCGCTGGCAAGACAATGACACTCGATAGACGCTATGTGGGATCTTTATGCAGATTGTACTCACAGCAGCAGCAACGGCAGCGGCTACAGCAGCACGACGGCGGGCGGGCGGAGCACGACGCAGGCGGCGGTGCGCGCGGCGGCCGGCCCACAGCGGCAGCCCCACCAGCAGCGCCGGCAGCGCCACGCCGGCCACGACCGCGATGCCCAGCGGCGCGCCCGCGAGCGTGCCCAGCTGCCAGAGAAGCTTCTTCTTGCGCGACCACGGCTTCTTGCCCCAGAACGTGCAGCCGCTCGGGCTGGAACACCAAGCGTTTGTGTGAAACGAAACGCAAACGGAAGGAAAGGAAGGGAAGATGTGTAAGCGAGAGGGGGAGGTGATATAAGATGGCGGATTGAAGTGGAAATCATCACCATAATCATCCCCAGGTTTTGTTATAATTCCCACGCTTGGCAGGCGGGTTGGAGATCACAGTTTAAAAGACTAATGTTTTTCAGAGAGCGCTGCTGCCCGTTCTCTGTTTGATATGTAGTCCCTAAGTCGCCTCTTACCACACCTGCGAGTGGAAATAACAAGTTAATAATATACAGCAAGATTTACTTGAAACACGCTTTTATTTCTTGCAACTATCTCACATTTGTTTCTAAGTAAAGTGCTAAAACCTGCCGATAGGTGTCGCTGTGCAGAATTAACTCGCGCTTATTAATCACTTCACACCTCAAATTTTAATCCTGTCGTATGAATAGAGTTCACTATATTTAAAATAATATAGGAAACATTATACATTTGGAACAATATACCACTGTAGGTACTATACGAAGTTAGCTTTTATTTAGGCATCATAGCAATCTCTACTTGTGTTTGGTTAAAACCATAGATCTTACTTAACCTAGATAAAATCCCTTATTAGACAAAGCCTACTTAAAAATTTGATTTCTAAAAATCAATAGTTTATCATGTACTCACCTAAGGTAATGCAGGTCGGAGACCTCCTTCATGCAGAGCCAGCAGAACTCGGCGCCGCACACGCAGCACACCATGTGGTTGCACGAGCCGTCCTCCACCTTCACGATCAGCACCGAGCAGCGCGGGCACGGCTTCACTTCGCCTGCGACACAACAAGTACATACATAAGACAGCTAATCTAAAAACTTAAACACTCAAAATCTTCATCATATCATTTAATTTCGATTGCACGAACACACCCTCTCTAATTTACAACTAACTAACTAACAAACGACTTCTTCTCTCTTCTTTATCGCCTTTAGCCACCATAGAGAAGAAGCAGAGAAAACATTACGGGTTGAAATAGATCGGACTAACGGCGAGTGAGCCGTTCCTTGGACTCTAAAATACTTTGAAAAAAGTATTTTGTCTAACGATTTGTCTCTGTTGTAGGCCGTCGCTGGTTGGGTATTTATTGGCGGTCAAGCCGTGGATCCTACCTACAACAGGCTCTGTGTGGCTCTGGTACTGGAAACAAAATCGATCAGAAAAAAATAGGAAAATATTATTTTGAAGTTTGACTTTTGTCTCGGGGACTGCTTTTCGCTGGTTGGGCTTCATTGACGGTCAAGATGTAGGTCCTACACAAGAGTTCATCAGCAAATAGAGAATTGCGGCGCACAGCGTCGAAGGTTTGCGTAGGATGCCAGGCCGTCTAGCTGTGTTAGCAGACGACGCCGACTCTATAGGCAGTCCAGCTGTAGACCCTAGACAGGAGTTGCACCAGTAGGAATATTTGTCACTTACCATGGTCGAGGTCTGTGTGCGAGGGCTGCGGCGCGCGCGGCGTCACAGGTCTGCGTGGGGTGCCAGGCCACCTTGCAGTGGTAGCAGACGCTGACTCTATAGGCGATCCAGCTGTTGATCCTAGACAGCAGTAGCACAGGGAACAGCCTGGTACTGACCGTGGTCGAGGTCTGTGTGCGAGGGCTGCGGCGCGCGGCGTCCAACGTCTGCGTGGGGTGCCAGGCCGCCTAGCTGTGTTAGCAGACGACGCTGACTCTATAGGCGATCCAGCTGTTGATTCTAAACAGCAGTAGCACAGGGAACAGCCTGTTACTGACCGTGGTCGAGGTCTGTGTGCGAGGGCTGCGGCGCGCGGCGTCAGAGGTCTGCGTGGGGTGCCAGGCCGCCTTGCAGTGGTAGCAGACGACGCTGACTCTATAGGCGATCCAGCTGTTGGTTCTAAACAGCAGTAGCACAGGGAACAGTCTGGTACTGACCGTGGTCGAGGTCTGTGTGTGAGGGCTGCGGCGCGCGGTGTCCAACATCTACGTGGGGTGCCAGGCCACCTTGCAGTGGTAGCAGACGCTGACTCTATAGGCGATCCAGCTGTGGATCCTAGACAGCAGTAGCACAGGGAACAGCCTGTTACTGACCGTGGTCGAGGTCTGTGTGCGAGGGCTGCGGCGCGCGCGGCGGCGGCTGGCGGCTGCGGCGCGCGGCGTCGCAAGTCTGCGTGGGATGCCAGGCCGCCTTGCAGTGGTAGCAGAATGACGCGCCGCAACCCGGTGCCAGGCACGTAAGCTTCGGGCACGACGCGCACCCAGTTGCCACCACCGCGAAACTGGAAATGGCTCGCTTTGTTAGTTTTGAAAACACAGTTGATATTCTTTTAAAAGCATTGATAACTTGAAAACGTTTTAATGTACAAAAGCTGCGTGATATTGGCGGAACAGTGTGCCCTGTGGCGAAAATACACAAGTTCATCGCCATTAATAAAAGATGTTGCGATGTCAATGTCACTTACGATCAAGCGACACACAAACCAGTTTCTCTCCTCTTATTAAAATGCAATTGGAATATTTTTTCTTAAGGGGCAAGAATTGGATAAGAATGCATTTAAAGAATTACTGGAAAGCGTTTGACATCTTCCAAAATATTTCTTCGTTTACGCAGAAAAAATATTTGATTTCTGTACAGAATTTCTATCATTTCAGACACCTCTTATCAACTTCAAACGTTGTAAAACTGTAATGAGCTAACGTCAGAGGAAAAACGAAACAAAAGAACATTATCAAAACTGTGAAAACTACATTGCACTTCTCTTCATCATCATTGAATCCTCCTCATCATCAGTCTTTACTGACCTACAGTCGGGCGCGGGGCACCACCTCGTGTCGGGGTCGGCGGCGAGCGCGCGCCGCACCGAGAACTCTTCATATTTCTCGTACAGCACAGGGTTGTCCACGATTCGATGTACATCTGTAAGCAAATGATGGAAACATTAATTTACACTTGATCTTGCTTTTTCCCGTGGTTTCGTCTGCGTGAAATTAAAATGGTACAACTGATCTAGTAACAGTTTTTGCGTGAAAGAGTAACAAAAATACAACAATTACCTGTTAATATATAATATTAAAGTCATTCTCAAAAACTTTCAGATCTATAAGATCTAAAAGTTTTTGAGGATGACTTTAATATTATATATTAACAGGATTTCTTGTGATATTCCTTATCAACAAGGGCACCCTGTGTCCTGTTTACTTTGTGTCCTATTTAGTGTTGCTTGGAAGCACTGAGGTGACATGCGCTTCTATCAAAGCGGTCAGACAGCCTAAGGTCCACAGAAGGAAATTGCGAACACATCCAAGTTTGATTAGGAAGTTTTGTAGCTTTTTAGCAAAAAAACATAATAAAAATTACAAAGGGTATGCAAATTAAGGTATTACATAGCGTTTTGCTTCAACATCATCATTAGGGTTTGGAACAATGTGTGAATGATAGTGGGGTTGCCCCATGATAATTAAAAACAGTCGGCAACAGATAAAAGGACCAAAAATAAACGCCAATAGCAAATGACAATGACTGCGACAATTAGTGACGATGGTGATTAGGTTTATTCAATGTGATACCTTTTTATCGGAAAAAGTTTTACTGATATGGATATTTAGGATGTCCACCATTTATATCTTTCAAGTAAGAACCATGAATCATACCTAAGTCCTAACATATTACTCACATCACGAAAGCTTGTCGCGACTAGTTATAAAATATACATATGTATGAGTAATAGAACTATTTCCAGAGGTTCCGTCTGGCTGTATTATCGATCTGTCTGGATTCTTTGTTGGCGGGGTAGTTAAATCTAATCTCCAAAAAAGACTGACGTTAGGAAATGATCTTTTTATGCTCGGAAACTAATAGAGTACCTACTTATCTAAATCGGGCTGCCTATTTCAGCAAACTTGGGTACTAACTTAGGGAAAACGTTAAAACTTTTATTGCAAGATATTTTACGCTATTCTGTTCTAAATAGAGTCCAGATTACTTCCTGGTAGGTAAAATACAGCGCTTATTTTTTAACAATAAAATTATTGGCGTCTCTGGGATCATTGATAAAATACTACATTGATATCATAATCCAATTGAATACTGCAGAACATATTGCAGAAAAACATTTACATGTTTTCTAGGGGCCATAATAAAATAAATAAGCAGTTAATGTGCCATTTTGAACTTAGGCGAAATAAACACTTGAAATGATAATATGCTACTAAATCTAAAGGAGCACTCGTGTGATCAGATCAACACATTATAGAAATATCATACATTAGCTTAGGCTAAAATAAGACTCGAATATATGTAGTTCGACCAATACTCTGAAATAACGCCGGTCGTTCCTACACGTGCGCGTCAAACTATTGAGGAAAACGAGGCAAATGTTAAGCCACAAATGTGACATTTGAGACAGCCTAGACCTTTCAGTAATTTTACAAACTAAGTAGGTAGGTAGGTAGTAACCTATCTACAAAAATAAAAACACAATTGTGTTTCTTAAAAACATTCAAAATCTCAATGTAACATTTGAAAGATCAATTTTATTTTCATAATTAACTATGTGATAGATTTAATTTGTATTTTTTACATTTGTGAAACCCACTTGCTTTTGTATTTGGCGAAGTTTCCTAATTTAAAGTATTATTTAATGTGTATCCGTTTAATTAATTTTAACACGCTTTTTTAATCATAATGACCATGCAATTGTAAGTTTGTAAAATAAAATTAAAAAACCATTATCCGGTCAACCCAAATTCCTAAACACAATTTGGATTTAATTGGACGCCGCTGGCAGAATTAATTTTGTAGAAACCTAACTGGTTAACTTTCAGTCAAGATGCTTATATCTTCATTTGTATCTAGATTATATTCAAGACGCAGAGCTTCACCATCTACTTATAATAAACATTGACATAAATTAAAAGACCGAATTTTAAAAACACCTGCAAATAACTGGTTTAGTAGCGTTTAGTAAAGTTATTACTAAAATATAAACTGAGCTGTAATTTATGTGAATGCAATTTTTATTACAAGTAATAGTATATTAGGTATTTCGTATACTAATATCCTGTTTCCTGTTTATGATATACACGTGGAACATTCATTACAATTACATATAATATAAACCCCAAAAGGAAGAGCTGGATAATTGACAATTACGGTTTATTTACTAACCAGTCGTGACTCTCGCATCTAGGCAAGATAATGTAAAAGCCAATACTTCAAATTGGGTTCAAAATTAAATGATAATGTCTCTTTAAAGACATGATCGAAATTACTTTGTTCGTTCGTTCGTTTCAGCCAAATGACGTCCACGCTGCCTCCCCCAAGGATTTCCATGAAGAAATGACTTATTAGAAATGAATTATTTTCTAACCATGACTCTGACCGTATGAAGGGCAGCAATAACACGTAAACGCCTCACCAGTAACAATGCAATCGATTAGGCCCAGCAATTTTTTTGCAGCTACATATAAATTTTATAATCAGCAAAAATATTATTTTACGCTGAGATAAGACTTCTGTGAAAAGTCGATTCATGGTGAACGTGTGCCTGAGTCAGGCCATTAAAGCAATCACAGCTTCAAGAAAGTTGTTACAAATCACATTATTGGGGTGAAATATCAGCATTTATTTACGGATATGACTCAGGGTTTTGCAATTTGAGAGATTTTAATAATTTAAGTTGCTTAATTTCGAGTTCATCTTCTAAAGATTAATTAAACAGAAGTTTCCCAAGTACGTACACAGCTTAGACAGCTTTTTATTTCGGCACCCATAAGTTAAACTATTTCGGGAGTTTTATGTTTGGTTTGGTATTTAAGGAAAAACCTTGATGTTATCCTTGAATCAATTTTCGATTCGTCTATTTATAGATCACATGTGATTATTATTTACGAAGGATGTTATATTTATTTTATGGTAGAGGTGTCTTAGTATTGGACCGTCATAACCTGAGAAGCATGGAAACCGCGACAAAAGGGCGTACAGACTACAGAACTGATGGGTGGTGGCAGATGACAAGCTTCGAAGATATCCATGGATGATGAGATTCAGGCGCAGACTAGATTCAGGCGCAGACTGGTGGAAAAGACGACTATACATAGAATACACTGACCTGATGGGTGCATGCTCTCGTGGCAGACGGGGCAGTTGACAGGCACCCGGGCCTTGAACATCTCTATGGCGATGTACTGGCGCAGGGAGAACTCACAGCAGTAATTGAAGAAACAATATAATACCATAGGTCTCTATAGAGTTGGCACTAACCTGATGGGTGCATGCTTTCGTGGCAGACGGGGCAGTTGACAGGTACCCGCGCCTCAAACATCTCTAGGGCGATGTACTGGCGCAGGGAGAACTAACAGCAGGAATTGAAGAAACAATATAATACCATAGGTCTCTATAGAGTTGGCACTGACCTGATGGGTGCATGCTTTCGTGGCAGACGGGGCAGTTGACAGGTACCCGCGCCTCGAAGATCTCTATGGCGAGGTACTGGCGCAGGCAGGACTCGCAGCAGCGGTGGAAGCAGCCAGCCAGCCGCACCACGCTGGCGGACGTCACCGCCGTCAGGCATAGTGGACACTCGAGCCCTTCGCTCTGCAAGAAGGAGACACAGAACGTGAGAAAAGATGGATCCTATACGAGTAAAATTATAAACCTTAAACGTTTTTTCAGATAAATTGTTCAATACTGAATAAATAAAGATTTCCAAAGTTAGACAAATAACGTTACGCCTACGCCCCATTAGATAGCCTTATTACTGAGCCTCCTTAAACGTTATTTTCGTTAATTACGTCTGTATTATTGATAGTATACTTTGTTATTTTTACTTTATTTTCCATTAAATGGTTTAACCACTTGGCAGCCCGCATGTAATATTTTAAACACGAACGCATTTTCAGTCAGAAAATAGGGCGTTCTTTTGGCAACACGACCATGTAGATACTTTTTTGAAATAAAAATACATTGTGTGCACTGATGCAGTTTTACAAAGTAACGTTCCGAAACAATGCACCATAAATGTTGCCGCTAACGATAGCATAAAATGCACATTACGCAAGATGACCTAATAATAATTAACTGAGCCTAAGCATGCATGAGGATATTTTGCATGTTACAAGTTTATTTATGCCTCCGAATTAATTCTCAACACGCTATNTTTCGACCACTTTTCGACTGATTTGCGATTATAATCATGTGTACATTGTCTAGCTCTAGACTTACAGGTAAAACAAAACTCAACTTTCAGTATAAATGTAGTGTTGAGTGTCGTTAAATTTGAGACTCAAGGTTAATTCAGTCAAATACCCATTTATGCGGAAGGAAGAAGTGCGAGAAGACACCCTAAAAAGAATATCCATTAACCCAGCGACAACCCCCACAAGTAGCACGTATCGAACTTCGTCGTCTTGTCAGCGCCTGCGCTGCTTCGCCGCGGCATCAACTCTCTTCAAACTATAATAACGCGACGACGCTAAGCTAGCGCTGCGTCGAGGCTGCGCGAGCGCTTGCTAGACAACGACCCTTGATAGATGCTAGTTCTTTCGTTTCAGCCAAATGACGTCCACTGTTGGACAAAGGCCTCGCAAAAGGTTTTCCACAATGAACGGTCCTGCGCTGCTCTCATCCAGGCTCTTCCCGTGAACTTTACCAGATCGTCGGTCCACCTAGTAGGAGGCCTGCCCACGCTACGTCCTCCAGCCCGTGGTCGCCACTCGAGAACTTTTCTGCCCCAACGGCCATCGTCTCTACGAGCTATGTGCCCCGCCCACTGCCACTTGATTTTAGCAATTCTGCGATCTGTCGGTCACCTTGGTTCCCCTGCGGATCTCCTCACTACTGATTCGATCACGCAAGGAAACTCCTATGCAGATGCTAGTGTGGGGAGATAAAGATTGTACTCACAGCAGCGGCGACAGCAGCGGCTACGGCAGCACGACGGCGGGCGGGCGGAGCACGACGCAGCCGGCGGTGCGCGCGGCGGCCGGCCCACAGCGGCAGCCCCACCAGCAGCGAGTATCGAACGTCGTCGTCTCGTCAGCGCCTGCGCTGCTTCGCCGCGGCATCAACTCTCTTCAAACTATAATAACGCGACCCCAGCGCTACGTCGATCCGCCGCTCAGCAATGGCTCCGCAGCGACGCTAAGCTGGCGCTGCGTCGAGGCTGCGCAAGCGCTTGCAAGACAACGACCCTTGATAGATGCTAGTTCGTTCGTTTCAGCCAAATGACGTCCACTGCTGGACAAAGGCCTCGCAAAAGGTTTTCCACAATGAACGGTCCTGCGCTGCTCTCATCCAGGCTCTTCCCGTGAACTTTACCAGATCGTCGGTCCACCTAGTAGGAGGCATGCCCACGCTACGTCTTCCAGCCCGATAGATGCTAGAGTGGGGGTTCTAAGGCAGGGTACTCACCTGCCATGTAGCACGTAACGTAGCATGTAACGTATCCAACCTTCAAGTGAGTACGGCTCGCCCACGATCATCGCGTATCTAGCTGCGAGCTCCTGGATCCTACTGCGAGCCGCCTTTGTGCTCGCAGTGATGCCGCCAGTCGGCGGGTCGCTGCGATCTCCCTGCGAACCACGCGCGAGCAGCGGGCTCGTGCCTATGTACTCACTTGATATAGAGCTACATGACTAGATGAGTAACCTGGTTAATACTCACAGCAGCAGCGACGGCAGCGGCTACGGCAGCACGACGGCGGGCGGGCGGAGCACGACGCAGCCCCACCAGCAGCGCGTATCAAACGTCGTCTCGGCAGCGCCTAAACTAAATAACGCGACGCCAGCGCTACGTAGATCCGGCCGTTCGACGCGTTCGGCAGCCGCTTAGACTTCGCAGCGACGAGGTTCCGCGAGCGCTGGCAAGACAACGACACTCGATAGATGCTATGTGGGATCTTACGCAGGTTGTACTCACAGCAGCAGCGACAGCAGCGGCCACGGCGGCGCGGCGGCCGGCCCACAGCGGCAGCCCCACCAGCAGCGAGTAACGAACGTCATCTTGGCAGCGCCTAAACTAAATAACGCGACGCCAGCGCTACGTAGATCCGGCCGTTCGCCAGCCGCTCAGACTTCGCAGCGACGAGGTTCCGCGAGCGCTGGCAAGACAATGACACTCGATAGACGCTATGTGGGGTCTTTATGGAGTTTCTACTCACAGCAGCAGCGCCTGCGCTGCTTCGCCGCGGCATCAACTCTCTTCAAACTATAATAACGCGACGCCAGCGCTACGTCGATCCGCCGCTCAGCAATAGCGCCGCGTCGACGCTGCGCAAGCGCTTGCAAGGCAACGACGCTTCGCTCGAAAGATGCTATGCTGCGGTGGGCTAAGATGGAAGTTTTTATAGAGACTGTACTCACAGCAGCAGCGACGGCAGCGGCTACGGCAGCACGACGGCGGGCGGGCGGAGCACGACGCAGCCGGCGGTGCGCGCGGCGGCCGGCCCACAGCGGCAGCCCCACCAGCAGCGCCGGCAGCGCCACGCCCGCCACGACCGCGATGCCCAGCGGCGCGCCCGCGAGCGTGCCCAGCTGCCAGAGAAGCTTCTTCTTGCGCGACCACGGCTTCTTGCCCCAGAACGTGCAGCCGCTCGGGCTGGAACACCAAGCGTTTGTGTGAAACGAAACGCTAACGGAAGGTAAGGAAAAGATGTGTGAGCGAGAGGGGGAGGTGATATAAGATGGCGGATTGTAGTGGAAATCATCACCATCATCATCCCTAGGTTTTGCTATAATTCCCACGCTTGGCCGGCGGGTTGGAGATCACAGTTTAAAAGACTGATGTTTTTCAGAGAGCGCTGCTGCCCGTTCTCTGTTTGATATGTAGTCCCTAAGTCGCCTCTTACCACACCCGCGAGTGGAAATAACAAGTTAATAATATACAGCAAGATTTTCAAGTAAATAACACGCATTTATTTCTTGCGAATATCCCACATTTAATTTTGTTTCTAAGTGCTAAAACCTGCCGATAGATGTCGCTGTGCAGAATTAACTCGCGCTAATGAAACTCACTTTACACCTCATACTTTTATCATATGGATGGAGTTCACTGTTTAAAATAATATAGGAACTTATTATACATTTAGAACAATTTATACCGTTGCTTACGAAGTTAATTTTGTTTAAGTAAGCTCAACTGTAACCTGTGTTTTTTAAACCCATAGCTTTATAACCTATATAAAAATCATCCATTAGCCTACTTCATTAGACAGCGCTTCCTTAACAATTAGATTTCTAAAAATCATTAGTTCGTCATGTTGCTCACCTAAGGTAGTGCAGGTCGGAGACCTCCTTCATGCAGAGCCAGCAGAACTCGGCGCCGCACACGCAGCACACCATGTGGTTGCACGAGCCGTCCTCCACCTTCACGATCAGCACCGAGCAGCGCGGGCACGGCTTCACTTCGCCTGCGACACAACAAGTACATACATAAGACAGCTAATCTAAAAACTTAAACACTAAATCTTCATCATATCATTTAATTTCGATTGCACGAGCACACCCTCTCTAATTTACAACTAACTAACTAACAAACGACTTCTTCTCTCTTCTTTATCGCCTTTAGCCACCATAGAGAAGAAGCAGAGAAAACATTACGGGTTGAAATAGATCGGACTAACGGCGAGTGAGCCGTTCCTTGGACTCTAAAATACTTTGAAAAAAGTATTTTCTCTAACGATTTGTCTCTGTTGTAGGCCGTCGCTGGTTGGGTATTTATTGGCGGTCAAGCCGTGGATCCTACCTACAATAGGCTCTGTGTGGCTCTGGTACTGGAAACAAAATCGATAAAAAAAAATGCAGTGGTAGCAGAATGACGCTGACTCTATAGGCTATCCAGCTGTTGATCCTAGACAGCAGTAGCACAGGGAACAGCCTGGTACTGACCGTGGTCGAGGTCTGTGTACGAGGGCTGCGGCGCGCCGCGTCACAGGTCTGCGTGGGGTGCCAGGCCGCCTTGCAGTGGTAGCAGACGACGCCGACACCGCTGAGCAAACCGACAGCAGTAGCAAAGTACAGCATTTTACTGACCGTGGTCCAGGTCTGTGTACGAGGCCTTGGGCGCGCGGCGTCGCAGCCTTAACCGGTTCGCGTAAGGTGGCCATCTTGCAGCGGGCTGCGACGCGCGGCGTCTAACGTCTGCGTAGGGTGCCAGGCCGCCTTGTAGTGGTAGCAGAAGACGCTGACTCTGTTGGTGGTCCATCCAGCTGTAGATTCTAGACAGCGAATAGCTGTTACTAACCGTGGTCGAGGTCTGTGTGCGAGGGCTGCGGCGCGCGCGGCGGCGGCTGGCGGCTGCGGCGCGCCGCGTCACAGGTCTGTGTGGGGTGCCAGGCCGCCTTGCAGTGGTAGCAGACGACGCCAACACCGCTGAGCAAACCGACAGCAGTAGCAAAATACAGCATTTTACTGACCGTGGTCGAGGTCTGTATACGAGGCCTTGGGCGCGCGGCGTCGCAGCCGTAACCGGTTCGCGTGAGGTGGTCATCGTGCAGTGGTAGCAGAACGACGTTTGACTCTATTGGCGGTCCAGCAGTAGTAGATTCCTAGACAGCGAATAGCTGTTACTGACCGTGGTCGAGGTCCGTGTGCGAGAGCTGCGGCGCGCGCGGCGGCGGCTGGCGGCTGCGGCGCGCCGCGTCACAGGTCTGCGTGGGGTGCCAGGCCGCCTTGCAGTGGTAGCAGACGCTGACTCTATAGGCGATCCAGCTGTTGATCCTAGACAGCAGTAGCACAGGGAACAGCCTGTTACTGACCGTGGTCGAGGTCTGTGTGCGAGGGCTGCGGCGCGCGCGGCGGCGGCTGGCGGCTGCGGCGCGCCGCGTCACAGGTCTGTGTAGGGTGCCAAGCCGCCTTGCAGTGGTAGCAGAATGACGCTCCACAACCCGGTGCCAGGCACGTAAGCTTCGGGCACGACGCGCACCCAGTTGCCACCACCGCGAAACTGGAAATGGCTCGCTTTGTTAGTTTTGAAAACACAGTTGATATTCTTTTAAAAGCATTGATAACTTGAAAACGTTTTAATGTACAAAAGCTGCGTGATATTGGCGGAACAGTGTGCCCTGTGGCGAAAATACACAAGTTCATCGCCATTAATAAAAGATGTTGCGATGTCAATGTCACTTACGATCAAGCGACACACAAACCAGTTTCTCTCCTCTTATTAAAATGCAATTGGAATATTTTTTCATAAGGGGCAAAAATTGGATTAGAATGCATTTAAATAATTACTGGAAAGCGTGAATTATTTGATTTCTGTAGTATCATTTCAGACACCTCTTATCAACTTCAAACGTAAACTGTAACTGAGCTAACGTCAGAGGCAAAACGAAACATAAGAACATTATCAAAACTGTGAAAACTACATCGCACTTCTCTTCATCATCATCAATCATTGAATCCTCATCATCATCAGTCTTTACTGACCTACAGTCTGGCGCGGGGCACCACCTCGTGTCGGGGTCGGCGGCGAGCGCGCGCCGCACCGAGAACTCTTCATATTTCTCGTACAGCACAGGGTTGTCCACGATTCGATGTACATCTGTAAGCAAATGATGGAAACATTAATTTACATTTGATCTAGCTTTTGCTCGTGGCTTCGCCTGCGTGAAATTAAAATGGTACAACTGATCTAGTGACAGTTTTTGCGTGAAAGAGTGACAAAAACACAACCATTCATCCTCAAAAACTTACAGATTTATAATATTAACAGGATTTCTTGTGATATTCCTTATCAACAAGGGCACCCTGTATCCTGTTTACTTTTTGTTTTATTTAGTGTTGCTTGGAAGCACTGAGGTGACATGCGCTTCTATCAAAGCGGTCAGACAGCCTAAAGTCCACAGAAGGAATTTGCGAACACATCAAATTTTGATTAGGAAGTTTTGTAGCTTTTTAGCAAAAAAACATAATAAAAATTACAAAGGGTATGCAAATTAAGGTATTACATAGCGTTTTGCTTCAACATCATCATTAGGGTTTGGAACAATGTGTGAATGATAGTGGGGTTGCCCCATGATAATTAAAAACAGTCGGCAACAGATAAAAGGACCAAAAATAAACGCCAATAGCAAATGACAATGATTGCGACAATTAGTGACGATGGTGATTAGGTTTATTCAATGTGATACCTTTTTATCGGAAAAAGTTTTACTGATATGGATATTTAGGATGTCCACCATTTATATCTTTCAAGTAAGAACCATGAATCATACCTAAGTTCTAACATATTACTTACATCACGAAAGCTTGTCGCGACTAGTTATAAAATATACATTATGTATGAGTAATAGAACTATTTCCAGAGGTTCCGTCTGGCTGTATTATCGATCTGTCTGGATTAAAAAGACCGAAGTTAGAAAATGTTCTTTTTATGCTCGGAAACTAATAGCGTACTTATCTAAATCGGGCTGCCTATTTCAGAAAACTTGAACTAACTTAGGGAAAATGTTAAAACTTTTATTGCGAGATATTTTACGCTATTCTTTTCTAAATAGAGTCCAGATCCAGATAACTTCCTGGTAGGTAAAATACAGCGCTTATTTTTTAACAATAAAATTATTGGCGTATCTAGGATCATTAATAAAATAAATTAATATCATAAACTAATTAAATACTTCAGAACATCTTACATTTACATGTTTTCAAGGGGCAATAATAAAATAAATAAGCAGTTAAAGTAACGTGCCATTTTGAACTTAGGCGAAATAAAAACATGAAAAGTTATGCTACTAAATTTAAAGGAGCACTCGTGTAATCGGATCAACACATTATAACAAATATCATACATTAGCTTAGGCTAAAATAAGACTCGAATATAGTTCGACCAATACTCTGAAATAACGCCGGTCGTTCCAACACGTGCGCGTCAAACTATTGAGGAAAACGAGGCAAATGTTAAGCTACAAATGTGACATTTGAGACAGCCTAGACCTTTCAGTAATTTTACAAACTAAGTAGGTACCTATCTACAAAAATAAAAACACAATTGTGTTTCTTAAAAACATTCAAAATCTCAATGTAACATTTGAAATATCAATTTTATTTTCATAATTAACTATGTGATAGATTTAATTTGTATTTTTTACATTAATAAAAGTGAAACCCACTTGCTTTTGTATTTGGCGAAGTTTCCTAATTTAAAGTATTATTTAATGTGTATCCGTTTAATTAATTTTAACACGCTTTTTTAATCATAATGACCATGCAATTGTAAGTTTGTAAAATAAAATTAAAAAACCATTATCCGATCAACCCAAATTCCTAAACACAATTTGGATTAATTGGACGCCGCTGGCAGAATTAATTTTGTAGGAACCTATCTGGTTAACTTTCAGTCAAGATGCTTAGTATATCTTCATTTGTATCTAGATTATATTCAAGACGCAGAGCTTCACCAACTACTTATAATAAACATTGACATAAATTAAAAGACCGAATTTTAAAAACACCTGCAAATAACTGGTTTAGTAGTAAACGCTACTAACGCTGTAAAGTTATTACTAAAATATAAACTGAGCTGTAATCTATGTGAATGCAATTTTTATTACAAGTAATAGTATATTAGGTATTTCGTATACTAATATCCTGTTTCCTGTTTATGATATACACGTGGAACATTCATACAATTACATATAATATAAACCCCAAAAGGAAGAGCTGGATAATTGACAATTACGGTTTATTTACTAACCAGTCGTGACTCTCGCATCTAGGCAAGATAATGTAAAAGCCAATACTTCAAATTGGGTTCAAAATTAAATGATAAAATGTCTCTTTAAAGATATGATCGAAATTACTTTGTTCGTTCGTTCGTTTCAGCCAAATGACGTCCACGCTGCCTCCCCCAAGGATTTCCATAAAGAAATTACTTATTAGAAATGAATTATTTTCTGACCATGACTCTGACCGTATGAAGGGCAGCAATAACACGTAAACGCATCACCAGTAACAATGCAATCGATTAGGCCCAGTATTTTTTTTGCAGCTACATATAAATTTTATAATCAGCATTAATATTATTTTACGCTGAGATAAGACTTCTGTGAAAAGTCGATTCATGGTGAACGTGCGCCTGAGTCAGGCCATTAAAGCAATCACAGCTTCAATAAAGTTGTTACAAATCACATTACTGCGGTGAAATATCAGCATTTATTTACGGATATGACTCAGGGTTTTGCAATTTGAGAGATTTTAATAATTTAAGTTGCTTAATTTCGAGTTCATCTTCTAAAGATTAATTAAACAGAAGTTTTCCAAGTACGTACAGCTAAGACAGCTTTTTATTTCGGCATCCTTAAGTTAAACTATTTCGGGATTTATTTTGTTTGATTTGGTAAGGAAAAACCTTGATGTTATCCTTGAATCACTTTTCTTTCGATTCGTCTATTTATAGATCACATGTAATTATTATTTACTAAGGATGTTATATTTCTTTTGTGGTAGAGGTGTCTTAGTATTGGACCGTCATAACCTGAAGCCGCCATAGAAGCATGGCAACCGCGACCAAAGGGCGTACAGACTACAGAACTGATGGGTGGTGGCCGATGACAGGCTTCGAAGATATCCATGGATGATGAGATACAGGCGCAGACTGAATTCGCATAGCGGTGGAAAAGACGACTATACACTGACCTGATGGGTGCATGCTTTCGTGGCAGACGGGGCAGTTGACAGGTACCTGCGCCTCGAAGATCTCTATGGCGATGTACTGGCGCAGTGAGAACTCACAGCAGCAATTGAAGAAACAATATAATACCATAGGTCTCTATAGAGTTGGCACTAACCTGATGGGTGCATGCTTTCGTGGCAGACGGGGCAGTTGACAGGTACCCGCGCCTCGAAGATCTCTATGGCGAGGTACTGGCGCAGGCAGGACTCGCAGCAGCGGTGGAAGCAGCCAGCCAGCCGCACCACGCTGGCGGACGTCACCGCCGTCAGGCATAATGGACACTCGAGCCCTTCGCTCTGTAAGAAGGAGACACAGAACGTGAGAAAAGATGGATCCTATATGAGTAAAATTATAAACCTTACACGTTTATCATATTAATTGTTCAATACTGAATAAATAAAGATTTCCAAAGTTAGACAAATAACGTTACGCCTACGCCCCATTAGATCGCCTTATTACTGAGCCTCCTTAAACGTTGTTTTCGTTAATTACGTCTGTATTATTGATAGTTTACTTTGTTATTTTTACTTTATTTTCCATTAAATGGTTTAACCACTTGGCAGGGCAGCCCGCATGGCCATGTAATATTTTAAAACACGAACGCATTTTCAGAAAATAGGACTTTCTTTTGGCAACACTACCAGTATATTCCGTGTAGATACTTTTTTGAAATAAAAATACATTGCAGTAGATGCAGTTTTCAAAGTAACGTTCCGAAACAATGCACTATTAATGTTGCCGCTAACGATAGCATAAAATGCACATTACGCAAGATGACCTAATAATAATTAACTGAGCCTAAGCATGTATCAGGATATTTTGCATGTTAAAAGTTTATTTAAGCCTCCGAATTAATTCTCATCACGCTATAATAACAATCGTCGTTTTAATTATGTAAGCAATCAGAGCCCATTAATATGTTTAAAAACTAATAGCGTTTTGTTTTCGTGCTAGCCGCAGCGCAACAGCGGTCTGGCAGCTCATACCTATAATGTGATCTCAGTCTTTGAGAATTTATTAATCGAGTAAGTAAATCGCCTAGTCATTACGAGTTTACAATACAGTACTTCTAGCAAGATGAAAGTATACTGGACACTTGGACTAGCGTCAGAGCAGTCGATAGATGGTATACACACAAACAGATGTAAAGAAAATGTAATGAAAATAAAGCAACGATTAGGTTCCCCAATAATCGTGTCATATTGTAACTGCAGGCCTCTTTATTAATATCGCTCGTTATCTCACTGTCATTTTATTTATCGAAACCAATTGTTGATACTTTTAACTGTTCATACAACAGAAAACAAATCTGAGATTGGTTTATGAATCGGCATATGAGTGAAAATGTGCATGCATGCCACATGCAGAGCCACCAAACGTAACGCACGGCCTCTCGACCAATTGGATCGAATCAATTGTTACCGATACGCTCTAACTATCGTCAAAGGATTGTTGTAATTGCAACTAATTAATGTTCACCCGTTTTCGACACCTTGATGCAAGTGTCAATAGGTCCTTAATTCCGTACCGACAATAGCGTCGATGCTACACCAAGCTAAACTCTGTTGCATGCAATGTCCTTAGTTGTAATGGGTAAAACAAAAATGTAGGCTAACACCTATCTACAAGCGGATTGTATCTGACATTTTAACCAGACCTTTTATTCAATATTCTACATAAAGTTAATTAATAACTTGGCCAGACGTAAATGACTGCTGAATAAAATATTACAAACCAACGACACGATTCTACAGGTGAGTGTAATGAACTCATGTCAGTAAACAATCATTTTTTAGAACAGAAACTCGATTCCGAACGGTCAAAGCACTTGCTAGAAAAAAGCTCTTCTGGGTAGTGACGCTTAAAAAGTTTATGCAGAGTCGTTGCTATGGCAGAGTTGGAAATATACATTCTGTTTAATTTATTGGTAATTGCTTCAAAATTGTTGGAAACACTTTTGCTCTTGACTGTCCATACGTTTATTCAGAACTACGCTACGGATGTATTTATGAGATGATTTATTTTGACAGCTTGATGGTGTGGTGATATGCCAAAGCGCCGATTCCCAGTCGCATTAATTTAGAAAACAAACATTATGAAATCATGTACATCGCCCATTGTCCTGTGGATGTAGTTTTCTCAATTCAATAACTTTGGTCTGCTTTATTTATTCGTAACCTGGCTGTCCTACCCTGGTTTTGTATGATTTGACGTGTATTTTAATTGGACACAACCTCGTACAGTGTGATTATTAGATTGTATGTGATGATGACTACAAGAAGGTAGATAATGGCCGATGAACCCGACATACCGTGTGACGCCAGTTTTACTGTTACTACTCATACCTACTTCAATCACACGAGCATTGCCGTGCTGCTTTTTAGATACCCGACACTACATAGTTTACCCTTTTCCAAATAAAAGGTAAACGAACCATAACGGCATAGTTACCCACATATTTGCTTAAAATGACGACACGCTACATTTGAAACAGTAAAAATTAACTGTGTAATTCGCGTAATACAGTATTAAGATATCGATTTATGAATGCAATCGGCTTGTTACCCATTAACTATTAAGAGGTAACTGCGCGGTAGGTATAATTTTATTGATCATTTGAATGCAAAAGTGTTGTATCGACGTCTGCAATGACGGTTATGTGCCGTGCGTGCGTCTGACATTATTTGCATCACCTCAAAAGCTTTTTGCGTGTATCTGTATTACGTAAAACACCGCTTACGGAGTTTCACTCCCAATTCCAACATACTACACATCAACTAGGTACATAACTAGCTAGCTACTCTTTTCATACCAGAGCCTTGAAAGGGAATATAAATAATACCAAGAAATGAAAAACAATTTCTTTTGAGACATTTTTCCGGGAATCCGAGAAAACGTAATAATAGAACTTTCCCCGAAGTACGTCAGTTAAAGAGAAAAACATTTTCCACGAGATCAATGGAAAATATTTCGCAATAAACAAGTTACGGAGCGAATAGCTTTGAACATTTGTTTGGAGACTTAGCACTCCAAAGCTTGACTCCGAAAACACTATTCTGCGAAATTGGATACACCCACCACAGGTTCTAAATACAGGGTGAATAGAAAGCAATGTATACACATTTAAATACTTTTTCAAAATAAATGCCTAGCGAATTATCAAGGTTCATATTATGTAGAGTCACCAATGAAACGATTTGGTAGAATCATGTTCACGCATAAATTTAGTTAGTTTTGTTTCTAAGAGGAAAACTATTACTATCATGTCTCAGCTATGTTATAGTTTTACAATAATTTCTAACTAATGTATAATCTAACTAATGCCCTTCTAGAAAGAGCTTATCAGAGGTTCTATGTAGGCTCTCAGTTTGTGGAATCGCCGCTATCCTATTTCCAATAAAGGTTTTCGTTGTTAAGTATCCGTAGTCCGTACTAAATAATAGGTAGGTAACTCGAATGATATGGTAAAAAATATTCGCCTTAAATTCCCAATTATTTTATTTTCAATCTATTTTTTTAGGAGTAGAATGTTTTATTCATAAATAAATATTCAGTTTTAAAATTTAAAATAAAATATTGAATTAATTATTCTTATTCCTTGGGTATATGTAGATTAGACATAAATAATGACATTCATCTGTTAGTTTTTTATTTTTGTGGCAAACAATATAAAATTTTTATACGAGTCCAACTTTTTAAGATTTTGAAGTCTCATAGAACAACTTTTTTTGCTCCAGAATTACTTTCAGGTGGTTAGATAGATAGACGGTGATACTTCATCGTTAAATTATTCGAAGGGTGAACATAACATAATGTAATGAGTATAGCATAGTTATGTCATGATGAGTCATATACGGTGACTATAACTGTTGTGCAGCTGACCAAATTAGTTGTCTGTCTGTGCCAAGCATGTTCTACTTAATGTTACACGCATTGCCTCTATTCAGTTACTGTTGCGGTTTATCTCACGACCACATTTGGATGTATTCGTGTCCATTCAAAATTCAAATAATTATCTTATCAGTGTATTAAAATAATCTCGCGTTACATTAATATCTTTCGTCACGTCTATTTTTAACCAACTTCGAAAAACCATTCTTGATGATTTTTCTTTTACTTGATCGATGAAATCAAAAAACTGACGATAACCTTTGGAGAATAACGAAAACCGGCTAATAACACCGATTTCACTTGTATCCTTTATTGAAAATAATGATTCTTACACCAAATATGTGCGAGCCACAAATCTAACAAAATCGTATAAATCGAATTGGAATTCTAATGCTTCAAAATTACGCTTCCTTTGCACGCTGCCTTAGCTCACTTTAAAATTATAAAACATGCATCGCTGTAGCTTTAAACATTCGGGGATATCCGTGAACACATTCTCCTGAAACATAACACAATCAACCTTATTGCCCACGGAAATTGTATCCCTTACTTTCAAAAACTTCGCTTGCTTAATGAGTCAATTACAGTACTCACAAGGTTAACTCATTGTCCTTTAAGGAAAAATCAGAGTTCGTAATGTACGAGTATTACGAATTTCCGACCATATCGCATTGCATTTCTAAGAACGCTAAAAGCGGGAGCTGGCTGGCCAGAGGACTGACCGAGTGCATTAGACACAGTCAGACAACCGACTAGGGTTGTCATCAATGAAACTGCCGTTACCAGACGAAAAATTGAAAAAACTCAATTTTTATTAGGAAAGTTTCATTAAGACACTATTTTGAGAACCATATCCGAGCGCTCTACCATGAAAAGTAAAGAAAACTCAAAACTTATGACTTATGGCAACCCTACTTCTAAAAACTATTAGGTATTCTGTGTCTTCGCTTCGATTCGATGGTAAGATAAGGTACTCTGATACGTATCAAATATTCAATTGTTGGAACAAGCTCAATACTGGGAAGTACTTAAAGGTTATAACTAGATATTACTTCATATCACCAACCCCCTGCTTGTTGACTAGGTTTACCTCAAACTCTACAGTAGGGAATTTTCTAGGAGGTTTACCTAACTAATGACGCAAGAGGAAGGTATAATCTTTTAAATATATGTATAAAAGGAGAAACTGACTGACTGACATATCAACGCACAGCCTAAACGGCTAAACGTAGGCACTTGAAATTTGGAAGTGACGTAGCTTAGGTACCGTAGAGGTGCACTAAGAAAGGAATTAACGAAACTCCCACGGGAACGGGCCCCTAAGGGGGTAAAACGGGATCCACGCGTACGAAGTCGCGGGCGGCCGCTAGTAACCTATAACATAATAATGCGTAACCACGTTCGG